AACAGTTGAGGAGAATAAGAAAATAAATGAATGTATCGAAAGGAATAATAATTTTAAACATTAAAATAAATGGGAAATAAGATAAAATAAAAATAGAATGAAGAAAGGAACTGAAAAATGAAAGAAAGTATAGATAAATAGAAATAAATTTAAAATGAAAATTAAAACAAAAAAATATTGAATATACACGAAAATAATTGGATGAAAAATAGATTGAAGATTGAGCATTTAATAAATTAAAGCATTTTCTTTTTAAACTAAGCAAAACTTTTAAAGCTTATTTTAAAGTAACGGATGGTTACTATATCTAAATTCAAGCAAAAATTTTTGATTTAAAATTTCAAAACAAGAATTAGCTAAATTTGAACAAATATGTCTGGCATAAAAAGATATTATAAATTCAGTCGATTTAGACAAAGGAATATTACCAGAATATTTATCGAATAATGATATAAGCATTATTAGATAAGAGCAGAAAGGATAATGAAAGGTTTCGTTATTCGATTTCAATTTAAGTGAATAAAATATATGTTTCCAATTTGTCATCAATTGTAGTAAAATTGTTTTTTACTAAATTAGCTGAAGATATTTTGCCTAATTGATTTTATATGATTAATTAATCAAATAATTAGTACAATTGTCAGCATTTAATTAGTTGATAATGATAATAATAATAGTAATAGCAATAATGGTCAAAAGCAAAAGACCCCAAAAAATAAATAAAAATAATTCTTTTCTTTGTTGATTAAAAAGTACGGATAAACACAACATATTAGAAATGCACTAAAAGATTAAAACTTCAATTTAAATTTTAAAATAATTTAATGAGAATTGAAAAGGATACTCACGTACAACTTTTAACATTTTCATTCGTTAAATATTTTAGTAAACAAAACTATTGAACTAATCATTTTTTTTAAATTATCAATCAATCCAAATAGAACTTTTAAGTAATTCCCATTATCACTCTCTTTCTATGATTGTTTAATTTTAACTATTATAGCTTCTTCTATAAATACAGTATTTATTCATTCATACACAACGAGAAAAAATTTTCAAAATAATCAAAAATTAGATTTAAAGAAAATTTTTACTTTTATAAACAATAAATTAACGACAAATGAAATCAATCAAAATAAATGAATAATATTTAATGGGAAAGAAAGTTTCACAATTTCAATTTCATATTAATTAAAAAATTAAAACAAATGAAAACAAATAGTAGAACGAATGAGTAAATTTCTTTTGAAATGATATTTCAAAAATGAAAACTGTCAATATGATACGATGGGATAAAATGCCAAATGCATATATTACTTAAAATTGACAGCATACCAAAGAAAACTGGTATAGATTAAAGTTAGAATTTTACTTTAAAATAGTTGAAGAACCTGTTTTATGTCACCTTCTCGAACTATACGATCCAGAAAAGGTTGAGGTATGCATATTCCTCTCATCCACTTCAGTAATGATCACCTGCTACATACCCACAAACATAAACAAACATATAGAACATACTACTGATGGTATAAATATACATGAAAACATTGAATCAAATATAATATAGCAGACAGATAAAACAAACGAGTAATTGACAAAAATTTGATGTAAATAACAGAAATTTCAAATTTATTTATTTCAAATCTATTAGGAATTAAAAGAAAAATTGGAAAACGTATGTGAAAAACTTGCTTTTAACGCAAAAAAAATAAATTAATTAAAATTGTTTAATTAATTTGGAATTAACTTATAATTCAATCGAATATCTTATCTTACACTATAACAATACTGTATTCATATGGTTACAGTATAACAATACTTTATCTTACAGTATAACAATATTTTTTCGATTACCTCATCTAACAGTATAACAATACTGTATTTATATGGTTAATCAATTGGTAATTGCATGTTTTTTTCCGGACAAAAAGTTAACATTTTTAACTTTTAAAATTTATCACATCGAATATTAAAGTATTTTTTTCGAATTTTTCTCACTTTTAATTTCACTAATCTTATCGCATTATTAAATATTGTAATGGCTTATATTAACATTTAGCTTTTTGATTTTACCATAACTGCTGAATATCATTACAGCTTGTTTTGACTGAATAGTTCTTATAACGTTGTTTTTAAAAAGAACTCATTCTTTTTGGAGTTTTTATACGTTTTCACTTTTTTCCTATTCTTATTTTTAAATATAATTTTAAGCGCTTTTAGTATAATTTTAAATAGTATCCGAGGTTATCTTTTATTAATTATTAGATCTTTTGTTTCTTTTCTTCCTTTTTATTTATCAATTTATTGATTTTTCGTATTTTTGAAATTAAATTATAAATTTATAATAAACTCAATAATGGAATGAATTATGCAAATTGAATTATAAATAACTTAAATTTCAATCATATGTAGTTTTTAATTTTAGTTTTGATAGAAATAATTTTTTGTCTTAACTTATTAATTCAACTACTTCATAATATTCAACAATTTTATCATTCTAATTCTCAATGAATGAAATCATTTCACCAAAATTTGCATCCATTTTTAGACGCTTTTGAAAGCTTTAGCATAGAAAGCACTTAATTAATTGTATCACTTAATTAAGAACTTAATTAATTGTGAAATCAAATGTTATAATTTTCATTATTGATTATAACTATTATTACCAATTTTTATGCATGTCATCTGTTACTCTCAAATGTTTTTAGTACTGTAAAAAATTTTTGATACTATAAAAGAATATATCTGATGAAGTAACCGGGAAGAAAAAGCTCCGATGATTATCGAACGCAATCAATAAATTTACTTATTACGAAACATTAATAATATCTTTGTCAAAATTTTAAAATTTGTCAGAGAAATGTGAACGTTATATTTAAAATAAATACACTTTTCGCTAAATCTTCAACACTTTTTAATCTGTTTACCAAACATTTCCTTTGATTTATTTATATTTTAATTCCTTTATGCTTATTCTCTCTTCTACACATTTTATCGTTTCTTTGAAAGTATATAATATCATCAGTTAAAAATCCTAAAATACTTCCTGATATTGTCTGGCAATTATAGAATGTCCTCTTACATCATCAAATGAATATTCAAAATTGCTTCCTGATATTATTTAAGAGGCATGAATGCTGTGCAAACATTACAGTTATAATGCAAATAAAAATTTGCTATAACAAATTTTCTAAACTTGACAGTATTAATAATAATAATAATAATGCTATAAATAATTAATAAAAATTGTAATCATAATAAATAATAATGATAATAATAAATAATTAGTAACAATTGTGATCATAATAATAGAAGAATCAATAATAATAATAATAATAATAATGAAACTGCATTTAAAAGTAACAGTAATAATAATAATGATAATAATAATAGTATTATTTTAGCTAATTGTAAACAACGGACAGAAATAAAATAGTACATAAATAGTAAATAGTAAGTAGACGTATTTATGATTAAAACTTAATAAGAATAGGAAATGAATAATACTTAACAATAAATCTCAAATGAAATCTTTCCAACAGTTATATGCAAATTTTTGAGGCATAAAATGTTGGTAAATGTAATTATCGATTAGATTAAATATCTCTTCATCATTACACTTTTCTTATCAATACAACAAGTTAGAAACAATGCTTTGGTTAGAGTTCACTACGAACATCTTCCAAGAGATAAACTTTGTGGATTGATATATATATATGTGTGTATGTGTATATGTATGTATATGTATTTGTGTATGTATGTATGTATGTATGTATGTGTGTATATATATATGTGTGGGGCGTATGTATGTATACATTTGTTTGTGGTAAATGTATCGCTGATCAATTTTTCCGTTCGTGAACTGTTTTAATTTTTTTTGAAGAGCAATAATTCGATGTTGCCATGTAGATTTTAAAGTTTGTCAAAGTTTGTTTGTGAATTTTTCGTTTTAGGAGAAAATGAAAATTTTATTAATGCTTTGAATCTTTCCATACCTTTTTTGTAAAAACAAAAAAAAATAGATTTCAGGTTAGAGGTCATTTATCATTCCGGAATTTGATTAAATGAATATCATTAGATGGATAAATATTAATAATTTATAAAAGAAAAATTCCTATTAATTACGAAATTTCAAGAAGTTAAAATGAATTTTATTTTTAAACTAAAGCAGACTGTTTGCAGATTAATGATAATATAATCACTGAAAGAACCATTTTTTATCAATGCTTTCTAAATTTCAAACAAATGACAAAAAAGAAAGAAAGAAACTTTCTCGTAAAGCTATTGCTAATTTATTAATGAAAGAAGTTGAATGGTAAATTTTAAAAATATTATAATTTTAAAATATTGGAATCATAGGATTTTATAACAATAGACAATTGGGCTATGTGTATATGCTTATCAGCCTTTGAAATGATAATGATAAAAAGATTAGTTCGTTCTTTGTCTACGATCAAAATCTATCACAAATAGTAAAATAGCTATGTGAAATTGTTAATCGAACGGGAAATTTCTAGGAGAGAAATATCAAAAGTTATAATTTAATCTAATCTATTATATCATTTCCTATTTATAAGTGAAATATAATAGCTATACTCAAAAATAATCAAAGAAGGAATGAGTGAAGGAGGAAAGGTTAGCAATTATCAAAATGTGAGACACCTGAAAAGTGATAAACTTTTAAGAGATTCTTTTTGATCCGTTAAAAAAAGTTTTTCTATGACAGTTAAAATTGATGATTGAGAAGTTTTAACCTTTTCAAAAATGAAGGGTTTTTAAAAATCTTGCAAAACTTTATTAAGTCTTCGTCTTTTCATCCGACAACAGTTTCTATTTAGATTGCTCAAACATTAAAATTTTCAGCATTTTAAAAGTAATTAAAATCAATGACTATTACTAATAATCAATAGCAGTCTAGGAAGAAGGAAGTTTCCTCGAGTGCTAGAAATATTAAGGCTACGAATTCATTAAATGATCGACGAAAGAAAATAAAGTGGCAAATGAATCCATTATATAAGGTTTGTATTCAATCGAATTTCTGCTTATTTTTTTTTTAATCTCATTAGTCAGAGTAATCGATTATGCTATCGATTTCTTCATTTTATAGGCAAAATCAAGCAATACAGAAGGATCAGAATCAGAATCTACGACTTCGTTATTATCACATCAATCATATTTGCATTCTGAAAAATCTATTGATAGTGGTTATAAAAGTAATACCGAAGAAGAAAATGAATTTCAAGAGAATATCCTCAAAAGGGTAAAAAATTTCAATCATTAATTTCAACGTAGAAAGATTTTTCTAACAAATAAAAAAAGAATTTCTGAAATACATACGAAACATTCATTCTATGTGATATTTCATATATCACATTTCAAATGCAATCATTACTTTTTTCATTAATCCCAAATCATCTTAGTATATATATATATATATATAGGCCACTGAAAAACAATTCATATTCAAATAGCTTAAAAAGCATTGCTATCTTTCTAATCAAAAAATGCAGAGGTAATTTTTCTTCCACAAAAGTATTTTCCCATTTATAAAATTTATCATTATTAATGTTCACTGTTAGTAGGTAAATTTCCATAAAATTGCTACGGAAATGTTAGATACGATGAAATAAGCATTGAGTGATATAAAAGAAGGAAATACATCGATGAGAAAAGCCATTGAAGAGTTTGAATATGTGTTGAGGAAGGTTAACAACACACGAAATTTGAATAAGATTTGTTAAACTCTCTCCAATTTTTACCATATATTTTATTTGGATAATTGCAACATTTTAAATTATCTATTAAACAAATTCTTTCATAAAATATCCTCCTTGGCCTATAATCTGAGAAAATGACGAAACTGAATTTTAAAGAATTTTTCAGTTCATTGATTGAATTATTTTGTATTGCTTCAATTGCTGTTATGTACTATTTGATGAGATACGATATGCAAAGCAAAGAAATAAAAATTATTTAATGTACAAATACACAAAAGCGGAGATTTAAAAAGAAAACAAAATGAAATGGAAAAATACACCGCAAAAACAACAAGGAAAAACAAGCAAAATTAAATTGTGCTACTAAAGTTAGGGAAATTGGAAGAAAAAAGGAATTTTAGAGATATGAATCAAATCATTTGGAAAAATGAATAACAGAACCAGAACGAATAAGATAAGTAATGGTATCCATGTTTAATATATTAATTTCACAAATAGATGAATATGACTGCGCATTGAGTGCATATGCCTGCGTCTGTGAATACATCTTCCGGTTTCGATACTGTTATACAAATATTAATAAATAGAATTATATTTAATATCTGTTCAAAATATAAGTAACTTGCATAATTATAAAAGCTTAAAAGTGTGCAAATAACCTATAATGGTTATACTGGTTCAGGAATGGTTAAATTTTTTCTCAAGAAGCATTTTGATCAGAATTCAAAAATATTTCTTTTTAAAAGGACCGATCTCAGTAATAGGAATAATCACAAAACTGAATGCATAACAAGAACATCCCTAACACAAACTAATCTACTCAGCTTTATCAATGATCTTCCCTTATTTCTCCTTTTGCAAACTAATTTTACTTTTATATTCTTATAATGTTGCTGTTTGACAGAAATGCACTGGAATATAACAATACAGATTTTGGAAACAAACAAAATGAAGAAATGAAAATTATAAATCGTAATCAAAGATATGGAGATTCACCCTTTATCTATATATATTTCAAAATCTCCTGATAAATTAATTTAAAATGAGGAATCGACTTAAATGACGACAATGCTACACCCACAATGCTGTTCTAAAAACAACTGTTTAAAATTGAAATTTAATTTTTCGATATAATACAATCTTTTTGTTAATAATTATTGCTGAATACAGACATAAGTCATTGCACAATAAGCATCTGATATGTATAACAAAGCAATAAATATCACTAATTTTATGTATAAATAATTTAAAAGGAGCAAAAATCTCTCCATACAATTAAGTTTTCTTGGATGAGTATAATTCTCTTTGAACGTGACCTTGCACGAATCTTGCAAAAGATAAGCTCAGCCCAAACGAAATTATTATGTCGATAATTACAACAAAATGGAATGTTTTCATTTTCCCGATTAAGTCATACATGCAAGGAATGTCAGCTACAGGATTAAGAACCCGGATCAGGTTTATGATTCGAAATTTGTGAGCTTATGAGCTCACTTTTCCCAAGCATTACATAGAATTCAGGGTTAAATAATATATTATACAGAGTTCAGAGTTAAATAATACCTCTACGGGCAAACAAAAGGGATCAGCCATTTTACTACCAGTTCCCACTACAGTAAGGAGAACAACAACAAAGAAAACAGAATAAGATATATAATATATATATGTATATGTATTATATATAAAAGCAAATCGAATCAAAAGCTGGAGAAAAATGAATCAGAAATCAAAAGAAATTTTAAAGTGAAGTTGGCTTCATCGATGGATAATTGCCAGTTGCTTCCTGAAGCCTTAGTTCAAGCTGTAACCTAATCTGCGCTAATTTAGCCCGCTCAGTTTCCAAATGATTGTTTAATAAACGCAAGTGATCACACCGAACTTGCCAATTCACCTGCCCGGTCGACGTTGCAATACTCGCCGCCGTGCCACCACGTGTGCTAGTATTACAACTATCACTTGCACTTGCATTACCTTCCTCTGCCAATAATTCCTCGATACGTTTTTCTTTAAAATGAAAAGTCCAAGTATGATTTTTGATCTTTTCGACATTCTAGCTTGTTTAGTATTTTTGGTTGTTAGTGAATCAAGCACTGTATGATAAAACGAATGAACCAGAAGTTATCACTAAGATACTTCGAGATTTTAATTTGCTGATTATGATTACTTAAAACCAAAAGAAAAAAGATAAACCCGATAAAAATATACAAAATAATAATGAAATAACAAAAAAAAATAAAAAAATAAACTGCAAATAAAAATATGCAAAACAAAATAATGAAATAACCCACCCATATCAATATTGAGTTCGATTAGTTCGCGTCCATCATTAAAGCTTCGCGATGGAAAAATGTCTTCCGTTTGTACGCTGACATCGACAAATGTTGATCGTGGTGGCAACGGTGGAGCAGGAGGAGAGCGAAGTGAAGAGCTGAGATCTACAAAATAGTTTCATAAAAAAGGATTCCAGATGTTCTGACCATGGTACAGATTAAAACTTGATCTAAATGTGACAAGTTATCAAAAGCTAACATCTCTTTTATCTGCTGGGTTTTATAGGACAAAGACTGGCTCCCAATGTTGAGTGTTATAAGCAGAATATTTTGTGCAAAATAAAAAACGAGACTGAATTTTTCTTAGTTATTTCTTGGCAAAGACGTTCTCTTCATTGGACCAAAAAATAACTAGCTGGGGAAGAAGAGAAATTCAAGAATTCATAAAACAAAAAATAATCATTGCACTACTTGCGATATTCTTTAACAAGCTTACCGTGCCATTCTGTTGTTGAAAAACACATGGTATCAGAAGGCACAGAACTGCATGGATGACGCAATGATCCTTGAGCAGGAAGAGTAGCACCACGCTGTGATGTTTCTGTTGCCAGATTCAGTTTTAATCTATAAACAACCGAAAACGAGTTGTACAAAACTCTAGAAATGAGATTTTCAGAATTTGAGAATGTTGAAAAACAAACCCGGATGTTGCTGAAGCGAAATTTTGAAAATTATTCAAGTCCAAGCTGGCACTGCGTCCATGTCCCTTACTTGCAGGCCTTGGAGGTGGTTTCGGCGGAGGTCCTTTGGGTGCTTGTGGGCTTAATGTAAAATTTGCAGCATCATTAAACTGCATATTAGAAGGAGTTTCAGTTTTGGTCGTAATCGCACAAATTAAAGCTGAAATTCATCGAAAGTCACCTATTCTTAAATTGCTAATAGCAAGTATCTTACATTTAACTTAATAGTGAGTGTTCAAGTAGTACAGTGGCCATCAGACTATCAGATAATCATATCACGGACAAAAATTACGCACACTCTAGAGCTTAGAATCACAATTAAATCATACGTTGCGAGGCTTTTAGTGCTGTTGGACGCACATCGACAAGAAGTGGCGGGACATCCGAGAAAGTACTCAATCTTTCTGGAGAATCCTACAAAAGTCCTCGATGAACTGTTAAGATAAGCATTCAAAAAATACTCTCAAAGATCAAAAAATGTTTCTTCATTGAAGACTTAAGAAAAGATCAATAATAAGTCAAATGTATTTGAAATAATGAATAAATTCCTAAATTTTCTGTACTTAGAAAGAAGTGAAGATGTGATAACTAAACTACTAACGCAACAAAATTTTTTAAAAATTTCAAACAAATTTAGAGAAAAATGGACATGATTATCTGGTTGAACATGAAGATGCTCATCACTGAAGGAATGGTGCTGTTGCGAACAATGTCCAGGTGCTACAATGTCATCGTAGTCGAACTGCTTCCAATCCTGCATGATATTAGCTGCTCGTGCTTCTGTCCCATGTCTGCTATTACTATCATCTATAATAATTCGTAGATAAGGAGACATCTAGGATCACTATATATATATATAATATATGATTAAATTTTAATATTAAAAAAGCTGCATGAGAAAATCAAGAAAGATTTTACTTAGATAAACTTAAAAATTGAAAGTTACAAACCAGCAGTCAGTTGCAAGACATCTCGACGTGGCATAACCGGAGGACTAATTTCAAATGGAATAACATCTGGAATTGGAATGTGACCCTAAAAATAAAAGGATTAATGTCGCCCTGTTCGTAAAAAACTTCTGCGTAAGAAAAGCTTATTCTAGAAAATTCCTATAAAACTTGACCTAGATATGATCTCGAGGAAGAGAAAAAACAAAAAACTTATTTCAGAAATTTCAAGTTTAGAAGAATAACCTTGATATGCAGGACAATAAGGTGCATAGCCGCTGAGAATTCATTCAAATCCAAATAGCCGTCTCCGTTCACATCACTTAAACTCCAAATTTTGGATAGTTTTTCACGATTTAAACCACTTCGCTTAAAAAATTCAACAACATATTCGTTTGCGCCACAAATAGCACCGCTTATATCCATATACCCCTGCAATAAAATCTTATTATTTCTTTCACTAAGATATCACAACAAGAAAAAAAACTATAAGAAATCTGACCAATGAACACAATGAAAAAAAAAGTTTAATAAATAATGTCGTGAGTTTTTTCCATGAAATGATACAAATAATAGAAATACATCATTAGATCAGCTGCTAAGTCTTGAATATAAGCGAATTACTTTTCGAACCATATATTAAAACGAAATATGTTGAAATATATCGAAATATATTCTGAAATAGCGAAACTATCTCAAATCCGGAAGATACTGAATGATATACTTACAGCTGTTCTTTTCATTAGGTGAATAAAACACTTTGTATAGTAAGCCCTTTGTTCTTCAGACATTCCATACAATGAATCTGCTAACGATTCCGAGGAAGTTTTATCCTGGAAAACTTGCTCAATTCATTTCCTCCAATCACACTGATATTAGAAGAGATAATGAGTTCCGTTTCGTTGGTACTTAAACTTTATTTGGAACTAAATAATTAACTCTACACCACAATAGTAAGATGCGATTGAAGTTCCGAAAGTTCAAACGCTCGCTCGGAATACCTAGAAGATCTTGGTAAACGCACCGTACAACCGAAGTAGTAACAACCAGTCAAAGCACGGTTAACGAATACCATCGACTTTTTGCCACCCATCCTCATAATTTCGACTTCTTCTTTCTTCTCTTGAAGTATAAAAAAATACGATAATCAAGAACCTTAATCGGTTTCGACACCCGGCCTAAGTCACTACTCAGTGTTTTACTATCTTCCAAATCAGATTCTTCCTCGTCTTCAATCGCATCTTCTAGAAGGTTTTTCGTTTCCGTGTCCGACATTTCTGAAAAATAGGTAAGGTGAACTTAGTAAGAGATTCTAAAACTTAGTAAGAGATTCTAAACGATCCTAGTCGATCCTCAGAAGATATGATTACTTCGTTATGCTAAGGTTATATGGAGTTGTTCAATCAAAAGAAAATCACAAGCTGAAATATCACAAGCTACAAGAAATTCGATCAATGAACATCTGAGAGAAAAAGTTCAACAAAAAACGCCATTTTTTCCATGAAATGATACAAATAATAGAAGCACTTCATTAGATCGAATTACTATATATTAAAAAATCGGAACATGCCGGCTTTTCTGAGATACTGTCCATATATCTTGAGTTAGTCATAAGCGGGTTAACCACAACAATAATTTAGCTGCTATGCAGTGTTATTTCTCTACATTTAAAAATTTTAAAAACTACCATCAGCTTTATCATTATTACCCTCATCGTCCGTATCACCGTCAACTTCGTCAGAACCATCGCTTGTTTCTTCATCTGAATTATTCAGGGCTTTCCATTTGATACCAGGAGATATTCCCTGGAATAATATTTAAAGCACGTAAATTGAATAACTCTCCAAGCTGCATCACGTTCAATGTGAGTAGTGACTATCTCTTCAAAAAGTTCGGATCAGTTTTCCAATTCATTATTGAGGCCAATCTAATAATATATGCTTCTATTACTTTTCATCTCGATATCTTACAAAACGACTTGACAATATATCCCAATGTTTTACTTGTGATGGAGCAGTATTCTCACTATATATAACTTCAGCTCTATCCGATAAATAATCATCCGAAGAACTAGCAAATTCTTCTTTGGCATTGTCACTGAAAAAAAATGCGGTTAATTCACAAATTTGAATGTTTTTATTCTTCATTCAAACACAGAGACTTGTGTACAACCAAACTATAAAATACAAACATAAAACTATAATATAAAGAAAATATAAAACCTAATTCCAAAAGGGTTTGTTCTTTCAGCATGAGTTACGGAGCATGATACGTTTTGATTCAATAACATTCGTCGTGATTCGTTTTGAAACAAGCTGATCGATACACTATCAGGAAAGTCACCAATTGATGTATGCTTCCTTTCCTGAAAAATCAAATACTTTGCTTACAGTAAAAATGATCATTGAATTAAGAAATCGCTTTTTATACAACACCTCTTTACGCTGCTTAGATAACAAATCAGACTTCATGAACCTCATTCAAACATTTCTTGCAGGGATCACATTGTGACTCATAGGAAAAAGATAGAAGCACGAAAGTGGATAAAATAGTTGAAAATTTTGCCGAAAAACATTACTAGCTTTATCAAGAAAAACGCTCTTTGATAATGACAATAGTGTATTGGAATCTTGATCTTCTTTTCCCTTAGTAATATACTACGACTTAGGTAACTGCCAGGTTAATAGAGTTCTTTAAAAAAAAAGGAAAGAGAAGTTTCCACTAATCAGCTAATGACTTACCAGGGAAGTAGACAAACTTTCGGAAACCACCGATTGAGCACGAACTTTCCATGGGGTGTGTACTGGCGAAGCAACTGTAACAACTGTCGGATTCTGATGTACAACGGTTTCTGTCATCGCCAAGTTTTTCCGTCTAAAATTATTATACTAAGTAAATCTGCGAACATTGTAATATAATTATTTTTTCAGCCGTATTCAATGTTTGCTTGAAGTAAAATCAAATATTCAAAAAATCTGAGAAGATGATATGACAATAACTAAAAAATTGAGAACTTGAATACGACAACTGGAAAAACGATTGTCATACGGCTGACGAAATCCAATATGTAAGAAAATCATTGCAATAAATTTCAAAACACTTTCCATGAAACCCTGTTACAAAACGAAGTTTCAAAAGATGAAGTGTGGTTCGCATTAACTATTGTAGTAAAAGGTTTAATTCAACCAATCATTTTTGTGCAATTTGTTTTTGCTGACAAGATAGTGATAGTAATCACACGATTTTATCTATCACTTAATTTTTAAAATTTCGATTTTGAAACCTTATTTTAAATACAGCACTCGCTGGCAATAGTGTGAAGAAAAGCAGCCTTATTTATTTAATCTAAAACAAATCATTGCTAATATTGAAGTCAGGTTAACGACGTTAAACCACTGGAATAACGCACATCGATTTAAAAAAAAATCTAAAATGTGAAATTCCGCTATGTAAAAGTCTAAGACTCAGAGCACGTGCCACGGAAAACTGAAATCATAGCACCAATCATACTGACCAGTTTCAATGAAGCTTGAAACAAAGAAGGTGTGAGTTCTGATGTAAAGAATTTTGTGACGTAGAAAAGATTTATATATAATTATTTCGATGTAATTATTTGGTGTAATTGAAATGAACTATAATCCTGAATGTCTTAGATTTTAAACAAATTTTTGTAACGAACAACGTTGCTAACCACCAAACGTACATCCAACCAATCATGGACGAAGAATCGCCAATTCCATGCAATTTTTCTATCCCACGGCAAGACTTTTACGGCTTGTTAAATTCTTTCTGCCACTTTTTTATTTTGTTGAAAATGTCGAAGTTTAAGCAGTTAAGTAGTAAAATGGATAAGTTTGAGCAAATATTTCAGCAATACTTGCAATGAACAGAATAAAAAGAGAAGGGCAAAATAGAATGATAAGAGTGATCAAACGAGACAGGCAAAATACTATCATCGTTTCTATATTCCCTCTTAAATTCTTCTATCACCTAATATTAAACTATTTCGTCAATCCTAGTAATTCATATTCCTTCTCACTTATCACTACCATAAAATATTTCGCAAATATGAGCAATCCCTGTTGTCTCTTCATTACAAATATTATTTTTTTAATTTATAATCAAATAGTTTCCATTTTTTAGTTTCCAACCTTTTAAAACTGCCAGTTTTTAACAGTTTATTTTTCTAAAACAGCGATTTCCTATCTAATCTTATTTTTAAAACCATCGTTAAATTGTGTCCGTAAAGTCAGACGTTATGTCATAGTAAATTATTGTCAAAACTTAATATCTCATGAACACTACCAGTCACCGTAATCTTTTCACCTCACTGTCTTTTTTGATTTTTATCCTTTAACGTTATCATTACCGTGAGGAAATAAGTTTGTTTCAAAGTTTTTTATTAGTATTTTTAAATAATTGTTAGTAAATTTATAAGGATTAGCCAGCGAAATCACTTTATTGTGAAATAAATATGCGCACTATTCAATTGATAAGGCCTTGCTTTTCCGACGAATAGCAAGGAGATGGAAGTTTTGGAGGAGAAAATCAAGGAAGCTGAACGTTTCCGTGACGACTATTATCAACATTTTCCAAAATGCACATTGATAGAGAAAAGGCAAGCCGTGCGGGAAAAGGTTTTACCATTAATTCAGGTAAAATTCCATTTTCATGTGAAATTTTTTCTATTGCAGTAGTACAGCAATCAGTAAATTTAATATGTTCGGACATTGATGTAGCGTTCTATTTCAAATATTATTTCAATTATAATTTAATCGTTTCTATAATTTCATCCTTTCGTAAACAATTCCACTGTTTTGATGATTTCTGTCGCTCCATTGATTTGAAAATTTCAATAATTTATTTGCCTTATCAATTCGGTAACTAAATAACAAACTTATTAAATTCAATAATATATTCTTTTCTATAATTCAATTGTTTCAGTAATCAATCAGAAAACTTCAATATTAATTTAGCCGTTAATTTTTGCCGTTCGTTCATTGAGTAATTTTTTGCAATTGTGATAACTCAGTGAATTTAATCTGTTCGAATCCCGTCCCATTCACATTCCAACACGACTACATGGAAAAATTAGCTCTCGAAAATTACAAATAGTTTAATTTCCGAAAGTTATTTGTTTTTCAAAAAATCTGGAATTAGCGATATTCGTAGGCTTCAGCGGAATATAATAATTATGCTTCGAAATCTGACAGTTTCTCACTTTGATTTCGGTTATGTTTACCTATTTAGTTTACGCTGACAGTGATAACAATAGCATTATTATCATTAATAATCTTCGGTTTGATTTTCAAGAGCAATTTTTTTTTGCAGGATATTCCGCTTGATATAAATGGACATTCGTCGACATCGGCGGGATATAATTATATCTGTGGGCGAATTTTGAACATCTGTATGGAATATGATGCAAATTGTGAAAGATATTTGTCACGTGCCGTAAAGTTGGATCCTTCGTTGAGTGATGCATGGTATGAACTTGGCGAATGTATCTGGAAGAGGGAAGGCTTCACAATGGCTGTGGATTGTTTTCGTGTAAGCATCGTTCAAATTTAAGTGCTAATACGCTATGTAGTGTTAGCTTTTATCAAATGAAATATACAGTACTAAATTAAGAAGTTTAGAACTTTTCCAAATTTCGAAAAATTGTTAATTAGCATGATACAGTAAAGTTTTTGTTAGGTTGTCTCGATGTTTTCTTTATCATTGGTAGTATATGCGAACACCTTCCAAAGAACAATAATTTCACCAAATTGTTTTCACTTTTTCCTGGTCGCTTCTTGAAAATTTTTGTTCTCTTTTCCCAGTTTATTTTTTGAGATTATTTATCGACTAATATCATTCACTTTTAATTACTTTCTACTTATTTTCAGAAATCATTAGCTCTGAAACGTACTGGGAAGTGTCTCGCCTCACTTGCAGCTGCCCTCCGACAAACTGCTTTACGCACGGCCGAAACAAAAATTCAGCAGTTATTGCAAGAGGAAGCTGCTCAGTTATCTGATGAAGCAGTCGAGCTCGATCCGAACTCAGAGGAAGCATGGCATGCATTAGGAAATTCATGTTTGACGCAGTTCTTCCTCAAGTGCCAAACAGATGTAGAACTTATGGTTTGTTTCATACTTCAAACCTTTTTTTTTTCATTTTGTTCCTGTTTATGAAATAAATAGCAGTCATTTTATAGGGTAAAGCTCGAGAAGCTTACGAAAAAGCATTGCAACTTTGTGATGTACGTTATAACCCGGATTTGCATCTTAATTATTCAACTGCTCTCAAATTCATCCAGAATTACGGAGAGTGTTTGAAACATTTGAAAATTGCAACTGTTTACGACCCGGGATACTTGGAAACAAAAGAACAGCTGGAAAAGCTGCTGTCATTTTTGCAACAAGTTAACAGTTATGTTCGAAATAAAGGTAATCGTATAAATTATTGACTAAATTATTTGAAATGTATTCACTGTTAGACTTTGGAATATGAGGAATTACTTATCATGGCTATAGGACAGAGGTGAATGATTTGTAATTCTCTTCAGCTGATACAAATTAATAAAGTTATATAATAAACAAGTGTGTAAAAGGTGCAGCAATTCCAGCTCTTTTGTTCACCAATTTTTGTTTTTTAGTTAAACTAAACAATTTTTTGTTTAGTTTAGTTATAACTCGATTATTTCAGGTAAATTGACAGCTAAAAAAATGCAATTCTTGAAATCTTCGATATCTGAAAAAGATTTTGGTGTGTATTGTAAGAAGCCATTTAAGAAGAAAAATGGTAGCACAGAAATCCTTAGACCAATTTCCTTTCGGGAATTGAAGGAAGAAATTAATGGCGATGTTGTGATCTGTGGCAAAGTTGTTGCAATTATCCCTAATACAGAAGTTATCCCTTAGTAAGCTTTTCTTTCTCATCTTTCATTTTTTTAGAGTTATTTCCTACGATAAGTTGAACATTTTCTTTGGGGACATTCTCTTCTTTATTCGAAAAAGAATTTGTTGTTCGTGTTTTCATTAGCTTTAGACACGCAGCAAAAGTATGTACATTTATATAGAACTTTTGAATCACAAAAGAACGCTATAAATCAATTGAACTCGGGAAAGACGTGTAATAAGTGCATATCTTCGTTTGAAAAGCAGTATAATTTAGTTTGCAAGAATGCGGGAATATAATAGTATCGTTCTAGTCTGTTTATGCAGTTTTAAAAGGTGGTTGATTAAAATAATAAAAAATATAGACGAATTAATGTCGACTTTGATTTAAGCACATTTGTTGGTTGCGATAAAGAAGGGTCTTGCTGTGCTTTTTCTGTTTATAATGCATCAAACAAATTTGGACTGGTTATTGGTGATTCAATAGCTGTACCCGAACCGCATATTATCGATGTTAAGGTAACTTTATCAATATTACAACATATGAGTGACAGGTTTTTGACATACTAAGTCTTCTGCTGGGTGGATGTATCGTTTCCCCTGTGCGATCACCAAAAATTATACCAACTTTATGACTGGGAATTCAAAACATGTGGATTTTTTTTTTCCGCTGCTAGATGGTGAGTGAGAGAAATCATATATTCATATTGCTAGAATGAGCCGCTTTTCTAGATTTCGTCTGAAGAGAGTGGGTGCGGAAATTTTGATTTTCGAATTGTTCGCATCGCTCATCCGCTGAAAATGATCAGAAATGGTAAACCAGTGAGCATAGAATGTGTGGCATTTTGTGAGATGAGCACTGATTTTGTTTGTTAGTTTTCTTTCTTTCGAAACGTTTTGCATGATGGTTTAGAATAGTTTAAACTCGTGAAATGATTTCATGTCCTAATATTTTGAAGTTCTGTTGCTTAGAAAAGTGTTTCATTTTGATGACAATTATTGAGCATAATTTGAATTTTAAATTAAATTTTTGCTGCCAATTATTTTTTTCAACATTATGTGTTTTATCTAGTCAACGTGATGCATTGTTAGCCTTATTTGAATACTTTTTTGGAGATTCGTTTGTGCATTTTTGGCCAAAATTTATTTTGAATACTTTCCAAAGTGGTGTTGTAAATGTTGCATAAGGTGTACCTGACTTATTATATCAATAATTGTTCCATTTGAAGTGAAAAAACAAATTGACGATTTATAGACCAGATTAAATTTTCCTAAGATTTCTGAAATGCCATGATGACTAGAGAATATTTGTAATAAGTGGTGAAATTGTTCATATAAGAATTAATTCACGTCATGAACTTCCTTTGGTAGTCACACCTAAATCTTTTAACAAATGGCAAATAAAAAATATTTCGGGGGATGATTAGTTTTAGTTTGAAATTACAATCATTGTGATTCGATTATTAAACATCGTGCATTTTCATATAAATTATGTGTGAGGCAACTTTTATCTTTTATCTTCATTACAGCAATTGTTCCATTCTTCTCAATTTTCATTTATTGTATAAATTTTGAACATAGAACAAAGTAATTTTAATTTCTACTTCGACATTTCAATGTATATCTGAGTTTGTTCTTATTTTTCCATAATCATTCTTTTCTGAAAATTGGTATTGTCCTTGTTTGTGCCTGATTCTTCTCTTTTTTTGGTGTTTGCACTGTCAATTTACCATCTTTTGTTAATTCGCTAGTTACCAGTTCAGTTTTTGTACCTTTTGGTAACGTTAAACGACGAGTGAATTGACGTTCAATCTGAAAGCTTTCAATGATGCTATCATAAAATGAATTTTAATCGTGAAATTTAAAAAAGAAGGGCTTTTCTGATACGGTCCATATGATGTTTAAAAATTACTGTTTGAAATAAAAAGAACTAACACCATTTTAAAATCGCGAATGTATTGCATAAACAAAATCATAGCCATGCCAAAATGTATGTTCTTAAGGAAGTTGATTTGAATAATTAGACTTGCAATACATTACATTCAGTTTTATTTTTGAACATAATTATAATTTATTACATTGTAATATTTCTTTTAGTTTCTGTGCAATATCTGATTCACTTGTAAATTTATTGTACATTAAATAAGTCCTAAACGACCAAATCAAATATTATCTAGAATCTAGACCTTAGTACCTTTGTTTACCTTAAGCAGTTTTATTGATCGCTTATAATTGAACTGAACTGAACTAAAATGAAAGATTAAATTTGATTAGTTCAAAAAAATCTTTGAAAGGTCAAATTTGAATATTAGACAACAGAAAATGAAATGCGCTAACTTCTCCAAACTGATCTTTGATCATTGGATGTTTACCTTCAATGACAACCATTCCATCACTTACGGAAACTTTTAAGTCTTCAGGTGCAAACTGTGACACATCAATTGTCACCGAGTAATGTTCATCATCATCGGTTATCTGGAACATTAAATTATAACTGATAAGAAATGCAGCTAATAAAGGATGCAAAACACAATGATAAGATAGAATGAAACAAAAAGCGAAATCTTGTTATATTAGGCAAATTAGAATCTAATAAATGTGTATCATCTAGCTCATTAAATGATATATCCAAAATAGAAAAGTGAAAGTGTGAAAAGGATGGTAACCTCGCCAACACCCGAACCTAATTTATGAGAGTCTTCGAATTGATAATCTGCCCAATAGGGTCGTCGGAAAAATGATCTTTCCAAGTCAAAATCACGGAATTCATCGAAAAATCGGTTAAAACGTGATGGAAATGGTGGCATTAGTGGACGTCGAGCCATTTATTGTGGACTTTATCTAAAAAAAACAAACTATTGAAGGAAAGGTCGAAGATACTGAAATGAATGTAAAATTGTCGGTAACAAGTTCTTTCTCTCTCTCTACCTCTCTCTCCACAATTTATCATTAAAATTTCACATTAATATTTCACCAATTCTTTTGAGTATGCTTGAAGCAAGTAATTAATCAAATTAAATACCAATAAAATTTGTTTCATAAATTTTTTCGTTTTTAAAAGTAAAATTAATTTTAATGTTTATAATGGAGGCTATTTCATACATTTGTTAAAAAATACCAATTTAATTATAAAAATTTATATCAGTAATTTCTTAAATATTATTTAGTTTGGTTAAAATATTCGAATAAAATAATTTTGAAACACATTTATCAATTAGCTCAGTTATTATTAATATTGTTATTTCAGATAACAAATTAAGTAAAAGAAAAGAAGCAAAATGAACGATTCTTTCCAGTCTTCTCCAATTTAATTGCATTGTAATATTTATTTATTTGTATATAATTAATATACTTTTACAAAAACTTTTTCTAATATTCAAATTATGATCTCGATATTATAGGAATATCTATTATGTGTTATGTAATATATTATAAACAATAATATGTCTTATAATACATAATAGATATTCTATAATACTTGGACAAATTAACATAAAATTAATGAATGATAAAGTATGCAGTACAGTTATATTTTATATCCTTCAAGTAAGTATAATTAGGTCTCCCGTATACAACTAACTAAAATTATAATATCTAAGAAATGAAATGACGAAATAAATTTAAAAAAAGTGGTTGACGTAAAAATGGATGAAATTTTTAAATGGTAAGGTAAAAGTTACCTGCGTTATAATGCAAAGATAAGAATGAAAAAAATAGAAAAATGAGAAACTTGTTTTTTAAGAACAAAACAAGTAGTTGATAATATTAATTGATAGCATTGTAATAGTTTGTTTTTTAAAAATTTTTACTTTTTTTAATGACTTAAATAAATTTACCGAAAATTTTTTCTAAAGGAAGTAAATGAATCAATGAATCATAGCATATGAATTAGTGAATCAGGGAATATTTTCATTTAATTTAAAAAATTAGTTTTGTACTTCTTTTTCTTCCACTCGATTGATTAATTAGAATATAAGAATATAAAACAAAGGAAAAAAATTTGATGAATTATTTCAAGGGAAAGTTAACCTCTCGAAGGTGGCAGTTGAAGAAATAAATTTTCCAACATTTTCTGAAAAAAAATTTCCAGAAGTTTTAAAATGATTATACACAATAATCGCTCGCATAAAATATTATTCTGCAACTTTTCATCCAACAAAATTTCTATGTGCAATATTTTTTTTCACTTATAATTTCCTTTTCTTATTTAATTTATAATATTATTAAATCGTTTTCATAGTTATTAAACCATTTACAATTATTAAATAATCATTTTCTATTAATATAAATAATTTCGATAATAGAAATGATATGAATAATTAATAACAGTAATGGAACATTTTTTTTATTGAAGAATAATTGTAGAAAAGGAAAATTATTTAAATATTTAAGTAAGCTAATTTTTAACTGTTCAAGCTTTTCGTTGTTTATGGTAATATTGCTAAAGTAAGAAAGTTTTTCTTTGTTTACGATTATGATTGTAAAGGAAAATGTTTAATTATATGGGGTATAAATTATTTTCCATTCAAATATAAAATCTAAATATACTTCTTAGTATCCTTTTTTCTATAGAAGAAATAAATGAATATTGTATTTGAATTAATTAGGTTAATTTCAGTTTCGAAACTTTTTTCCTCTCTCTTAACGTTTTTCTCTCTTATTGTTGAGAGAGAGAGAGAAAGAAGAGGAATGATAAGTGTGATAAAATAAGTGGAAGTGATAATGAGGCAAGCAATAGAGAACTTATTAGAAAGTTTTTAAGCTAAATAAATTTAAATTGAATAAAAAGAAAAAATAGAATCATGAATTTAAATTAACATTTTAAACAAGCATTCATTACCAATAATGCTAATGTCATTGTATTCATTTTCTTCTTTGTATTTCAGCATAATATTTCGGTGTTCAGCTTTAGTTTCCAGTACTTAAATACTTTAACATTTAATATTGTTTGAATAGTTAATGCATCTTTGCACTCACATAATAATTTGTATATTTAATGGTTAAATTCTTTTTATATAATAAATACTTCGTGTTCGGATATGTTTAGATATATTTAAATGACAACTTCTTTACAAAATTTTAATTATTTCTTGACTTTATTAAAATGTTGAACTTTATTTATTTATTATTTATTTCCTTTCATAAAAAGCAAAAAACAAAAAATTAAAAATATTGATACCAATAAAATAAATATACTCAGTGATCATCGATAGAGGTCAACAAATTTTTGAAAAAAAATTGCTGTAGTCTTTAAACTGTTGATTGAAATTTGATGATTACTGCCATTGTTATAACAATTATTAAAGATTGATAGTTGTAATGATGGTAGTAATAATAATAATAATAATAATAATAATAATAAAGGTAAAGAAAGAAAATTGATATAGAAGTTGGTATACTAATTTCCTTGTTTAATTTCCAGCTGCAACTTCTTTATCGTTTTCATAGCACTAGCAATGAAAAATAAATTTTATTAGAAATAGTAATAAAAAAGAATATTATTTCTATAACTAAATGATGTGCAAATTATCCTTAAGTTTCCTCTTTTTCTATTAATTTTAAATTTTATAAAATTTGCTATAAAATTAATTAAATTTAAATAAAAAGAAAAGATTAAATGTAAATATAAGAAAGAAAGAAATTTGGAGGAAAAAAGAATTTTGAAGAAAAATGAGAAATTAAAGATTTGTTCAATTTATTATTTTCGTGCAGCTAGCTGGCAGAGAAATGGTTGAATGCGAACATTTCCACCAATCATTATTTATCCTTGGCAAATTTGAAATATTTGAATTTCTTTTTCAAAAAAAAAACAAAGAGTTTAAATTTAAGAATTTTCTTTAAACAAAATTTTCTTTCTCTTCCATTATTCGTTCTTCTAAGAAATTGGAAATGACAAAAAAATTTTTACATTACTTTTCTTATTTCAAATATTTTTCAATAATGAAAAGTTACGAATTGAAGAAAGTATTAAAATTCTATAATTTATACATCAAATTATTGATTTGTTAGAGAGAAATTAAATTTTCAATTTCGAAAAAATATTAAAATAGTTTAATAAATATTTCTTAGTTTGTTAAATTTTAAATTATAAAGTGTAAAGTGTTAAAGATAATCAATTATCTTATAAAAAATTAGCTTTTGTTTTATGTGTTAATAATGAAAGTAATTAATGAATTTTTGAAAAAACAATACAATTCTTTTAAATAACGAATATTGGCTCTTTCAATTTATTTTTTCAACAATTTAAAAAGTTTTTTCCTCTTTTTTTTGTCAGTTATGAATTAGTTTTAGGAAAAAGTTTTCTTTAATTTGGCAATAAATTTTTATGATTTTTCATTTGTTTGCAATTGAATTTACTGTGATACTTCTTATTATTACTTAGTGCTGCATAGTGTTTATGTAATAGTGATGTATAGCATCAAATAGTATGCAACGATGATATATAAATAGTAATGTTGTTGATATAAATGATAAATATAGCAAAATAATAAATTTTTTATTGCCAACGAATTTTTATAATAAATTAAAGATAGCAATATTTACCAGAAAAAGCAAAAGTTTTCTATTATTTTACATTTGTGAAAGAAATATTTTACTTGTGATTTGTCGTAAATAAAATAATAATAGCCGGAAAATTTTAATATTAAATATAATTTTTTCAACGAACAATTCTTTAATTATCGAATCAATTTAATATTTTTTCTCATTTAATTATGATAACAAAATATTTGAAATTATAATTATAGGCAATAAGCTGCAATTAGAATATCTATAAGAATTCGTAAATAATTTACTTAATTTAAAATCGAAATTATTAAATGTAATTAGTGTATTATTTATTATTAAATAATTTGCATATAATTATTTGATGGTTTATCCTCTGAAAATAATTTATAGACAAAATTGTTTTGTCATCGCTGTTATTATTATTATTATTCCTGTTATTATTATTGGCACTATTATTATTCATTATTAATAATTATTATTAGTGTACGACAATATATATAGCAAACATGTTGGAGATTATTGCTATAACTACCAGCATTCTCATGTTCACATTTAATTTTCTATTAATGATATTAACCATCGTTTTCGATTATGTTAGAACTTATTTGAAATTAAAATTCCTCATATTTTACTTGCATCATCATGCAAGATGCATTTCTTTTGCATGTTATCATCATATCATGCAATTGCACGCCAGCATAGGGCAATTGGGTGATGCAACTGTTATCTCAAAAATTTCACATAAGTATCATTTGCCCTTACTATTTTTTTGAATTTGTTTGGGTTAATTAAAGATTTAATTGTGAATTTAAATTAACAATTCAGTATTTTCGGATTTTTTCCGTTCTTCTTCAGATAATATATCAGTGGGAACGTCAAAAAGCTATTCAAATGCGAAATGAAATGACACAACCACCACGCTGTAAGCAAAAAGCAGAAGAATTATGAGGTAATTCAATCGATTGAAAAGATTACTTTGCCCGTGATGATAAACCATTCATCGATATCGATTAATTTAAAATTAGCGTTAGTTTTTGAAGAGTTAATAATTCTTATGAAGCATTTAAATTTTTCTTTATTAGAATTGAATTAAGTTATAAATTTCCAAATTATTCATTATAACATGACCAAATCACACTTCGAGAACGAAAATATTATAAATATTAAAGTTCGATGAAAAAAAAGATTATGATTAGCTGTCGGGAATCGTAATTCATGAATAAATTATGTTTTATTACGATCTGTTATTCTTAGACAAAGCATAATTAATTATTATTCTTTATAAATTTAATTTAATTCATTTTTCAATTTGCCGCAATTTAGCACTATTCTTGAATAAATTACGATTTGTGATGATCTATGAATTTTAAAAGTTCGATTACATGTCGAAATCATTGATATTGTACGATATATTGATCATTTGATGTTTAGAAAGTTCGCTGAATGTAATAAATATTACACGTATGTGACAATATTGAAAAATTAACATTTTTCGTTTCAGAATTTATAAAATCTAATTTCCAAAACTTGCAAAACTTTGGAAAAAATTGATTTTTTGTTTTTTTTAGACTAAATTATTTATTGGTAAATAATACTTGCATTAATTAATTTTATATGCAATATTGTGGATTCGATACCGAAAATTTTTACTTCTTCTATAAGATAACGTAACTCACGTACGAAATACTTAGCCCGATTGCATGGCATGAAAATGTAACGTTTATTGGAATTTTGATAGATAAGGCACAACTCTATTATTATTACATTAAAGTATGATAGTGTCGTGAAGAGATAAATATACTAAAAGAAACATAAAATACTGTATTGATGAAAAACTATGACTTAATTCTTGTCAATTCATATATTGTGTTGTCAGAAAAACGGAAAAAGTTAAATTTGTGAAACACTATTCAATCAATCATCGAAGAATTGAATGGAATCTGTTTTGATTCATTGTAGGATAAATAGGTTAAGAAGTGTACAGTTCATTAGTTCATCTGAATATTTTGTCACTTTTTCACCCTACCCACTATCTCATCATCACCTAAATATTTAATATGAGAAATTGAATTTTAATAATTCAAAACTAAGTATATAAAACAATTTATATTGAAAATTTGTATTAAATCAATTCTGATCGTGTTTTTATCGTATAAAATTGTGCAGTAATAAATTAAAATTTTATTGGTATGACAAATACTGTTGGATTACACTGTATTTTTATGATATCCCATGTACCATAATAATCCAAACTTTATCGTAAGACGAGTACCAAGTACTGTATATTGTATTCAAAACAAGTATTTTTGTCGATTAATCCTTTTGAGCATTTCAAATTCTTACTGTGATAAATAGATATGTTTATATTTTGTTTAACAAATTGAATTGGTCATTTTGAAAAAATAACATAATTTAATAACTTAACAAATTTGATAATGAAATATTATAAGATGAAGACGAGTGCATGGCATAATTAATATTTATTGAAATCTTTCTCTCATCTTAAACAATAATAAAATTATTCACTTTAGATGATAATCGCATATCTAATAATCGATTCCTTTTTTTAATTTCATCTAAATTTCCTCGTTTTTTTTTCATAAATTGAAATTATTTAAAGTATTTCTTTTCAATTATTTGTAATCATTGTTCTTAAATATTTAATCAATCAATATCATAGTATTTAATTTCCAATATTTTGATATATATTTCTTGATATATGTATTTCCAATATCTTGACGAGTCAATCAATTTCGTATATTGAATATATCTTATTAAAGCACTCAATATCCTTATAATTGATTCATTGTATAACTTAATCAATCGATCAATATTCTCATTTTTAATCATAGTATACGATACTTTAGCAGTCTTCAATGCTGATACTAATGCTTATAAATTTAAATTTGCGAAACTTCCTTTCCTTCTGATCTTTCTATTTTATTCACTCATTTTTTTCTCATTCTTAAATATTAAATTAAAATAAATGGTAAATTATAAGTTATTAAAAAAGATAACAATTTGCTTACGAAAATTTTTGAATTTTATCCTATAAATAATATTTATTTTTTTTAAAAAAAAGATGCAATGAATCATTTCATTTAGGTTTATTGACAGCAGATGTTTTGTCATTTGTTAGTAAAGAAAGAAGAGAAGAAAATAAGATGAGAAAGAATAATATAAAAAATTAACGAAAAAGAAAGAGCCAACAAATTACCTGTAGTGTTTTGGCTTGCTTACAAAGGTAGGAAAAAATCAAACTGAAAATTATAAATTAAACTAACACTAAACCTTTTTTTCCATTTCTTATTTTGATCATTTTTAAATATGAGCTCTTTTTTTCTTTGTTTTTTTCATTATTAATTAATTAGCAATGAATAATTCTTTGCCATTAAAAGTGATGCTCAAAATATAATGGACAGATTAGTTTGTTTTCAACTAAGCTATACGTTGTTTATATATTCCTCAGATTGATTATTGGTCTGTTTTCAACTAATCTATCTTTTAAGTTGTTTATACATATACCTCTGATTGATAACTTTCAAGTTGTTGTTGATATATTCATTAGTAAAAGTGGAACATTTGGCTCAATATCTTTCAAATAATTCATTTTAATATCTGACTATTTTATTCCTAACCACATCAATGTATTATATAAATATATGCTAATGAATGGAAAATAATCGAGGAATAAATTACTTGTAACATTGTACTGATAGCAATTACTTAATTGTATTATTTCAGTATTGTTTGACGTTAATCATTTGTTATTACCAACATTTAAAATATAAACTTAAATAAAATTATGATTTGCCCTATGTTATAATTTCCAAATTGTTAATAATTTAAATTTTTATCATAATTTATTTCTTACCATTTTCATAATTCTATGCTTTATTACTTCATAAATGATCCATTTACCGTTATTATAATTATTTTTATCATTATATATACATGAAATACTTAGTTAACAGATAACACGTAACACGCTTTACATTACGTCGTTATTTTTTCCAATAGAAATGCGAATATTTTTACGTTATATTTTCGATTAATTATTATTGCTTGAATGAATTTTGTAGATGAAATTTGTATTGCTCTTATTTCTAACCATATTCGGTATTAGTAATGGAATGCGACTTCAAGCAGTTCGGGCTAAAGGTCAATTAAAATGTGGTGATAAGCCAGCAACAGGTGTAAAAGTTAAGCTGTGGGATGAAGATGATGGTTAGAATGTTGACTTAAATATATTGATATATTATCATTATTTCAAAGTTTCAAATTTGATTATCGATATTTTAGATTTGGATGAACACTATTTTAGCACAAATGAATGCATCACTTTTTACTGAATAATTTTATTGAAGTAAGCATAAGTAATGAAAAAAATTTTAGGACCGGATCCGGATGATGTATTGGATGAGAATGAAACAGATAGTAATGGAAATTTCGATCTTGAAGGCAGTACTCGAGAAGCGACAAGTATTGATCCAGTACTTAAAATCTATCATGATTGTGATGATGGTATTAAAGTAAGTAATTTTTGTGATATATGTTTGATACGTTCACGTAAATTTATACTATCGCGCAAAAAAAAAGAAATTATTAAATTTCATTTTTATCTTAATATATACCAATTAATATTTAATATTGATTGGATTTTTTTTCACACTTCGATGTTTAGATTTAATTTGAAAATAATTGTTGCAACAAGATTTTAAACTTTAATTTTAGCCTGGTAAAAGAAAAATTAAGTTACGTATACCGGATCAATACATTTCTGACGGTTCTACTGCAAGGAAAATTTTCAATGCTGGTATACTAAATTTGGAAACAATATTTCCGAAAGAGGAACGTGACCTAATATAAAAGTTTACTACGGAAGATGACGTGATGAAGTAATCCTGGATATATCATGAACATTTTGGAATAATTGTGATTCAATTTCCAAAAGAAATCGTAATAGATCGTAATAAATCGTATACTCTTTTAAAACAATAAATTGATCATATTTTTATGTGTATATCTGTTGGTTCTTTATTTATAATTAATGGTCTTATACGCCATAATCTATTCATTTCATTTACGAACAATTTAAAACTTTTGAAAAATATTTATTCATTTTATTTTGATTTTTTTAAAGCACTTCTTAAATATTGCCATAGGAATTTTCAAAGCTTTTCAATTAGTTTTTTAAATTTTGATAAAGAAAAATTGAATTAGCTTACATTAGCTATTTTATTTTAAATCTTAATATCTTAGAATTCGAATATGTTAAAAAGACTTTTTTGATTTATATTATTACAGTATTTATCAAATTATAAGTTGCTTTATTTATATTTTATTTGAGCAAAATTTTGATATCAAAATAATTGAACTCTAAATTATATAAAATCGGAAATTATTTTCTAAAGTCAAATCATTCGATCTTCAATTTCTTCTTCAATAAGAAATATTGCAAAGGGTATGTTAATAAGCTAATCTTTTATCAACTACGTCAACAAAACTTGATATCCTCGTGCTAAATTCTGATTTTAATCCTTACTTATATTTCAAACTTACAATTGGTTATAATTATTTTGAACAATTGCCCATCATAAATTCCTAATTTCAACGAATTAAAATAAATTGGTCATATTAAATACAAAAATTATCAAGATTTTAATAAAACTATTATCTGTTTTAAAATTGGTTTGATAATTCGCAAGTAAATTTATCACAATCATTTATTTAAACGTTAGCATCCTTAACGCTAAAATATGAAATTATCTTATCATTTATCTCTCGTAATATTATCATTGTTCGCATTATAAAAAGATAAAGTAAGACAAAATTCACTTCAGTTTGTCAAAATATGACTGCTTCTTCTAAAAAGAAGAAATTGAAAAAAGTAATTTTATAAACAGTCCGATTATTTGAGATAATAATTAAACATTTTAGCAGAGCAAATAGTCTCGGATTTTTAATTAAGCAAAATAAATATGAATTAATGGTAATCAATAAATAATTTCTGTTCCTTCAATCTTTACAGTCCGGAAATGGTATATAGTAGAAAATAACTTTAGGTACGGTACATTTATGGAAACATTGTGAATGAATCCAGTAATTTTGGTTGGATTTTTTTTAAGATTTTATCGGACTAAATATTTTAAGATGAATTTTTGGTTTCTACTTGTAATACTTGGTATTGCGACATTTTCAACAGCTGTAAGACATCAAGCTGTTGGAATCAAAGGTAAACTACTATGTGGTAGTGCTGCGGCACGAAATGTTCGAGTAAAACTTTGGGATGAAGATTCTGGTAATTTCATTTTGGATTAATATCTTTAAATTTATGAACAGTTTTTGAATTTGCATTTTATATGTTTAATTTCTGCATTGCAAATACTTCAAAATTTTTCCTTTTTTTTACTATAAAAACGAGAAATTGATGGTTATAGAGCTTTTGGATAATTTATTTCTTCAGGACCACAGCCAGATGATCTTCTAGCTCAAGGATATACCGATGAACAAGGTATATTTACGCTGGCAGGTGATACGTTTGAATTAACCAGTATTGATCCAGTATTGAAAGTATATCATGATTGCAATGATAATCTAAAGGTTGCTGATTCTTTTTTCAAATTTTAATTTCTGTTTTAAATTTACGATATTATTTGATGTTTGGCAAAAAAGTTAGAACATTAACGGGAAGTAAATAGAAAGATATAATATTAACTAAGTATAATTAAACTTATTAATTTTTTCCTACTTTATATCAGCTTACTCCTTTTCTTTTTTAAGTTAGGACTACGAAAATTAAAATTCAAAATTCCAACCAGTTATATTAACGAAGGGAAAACAGTCAAGAAGATGTTCGATATTGGTGTCCTGAATTTGGAGACAATATTTCCGGTTTATTTTAAATTTAAAAAATTTTTAACATAATTTTTTTCAATAATTAAATATGTTAATCATTACATACTATAATTACTAACCAATTGTAAACCCCAATAGGAACAAAGAAAGTGTTGTTATAGAACTATTAACAGTCTTACCGGATAAAACTATACGAAATTATTTGAGAAAAACAGAATATCATAAATCTTTTCCGGCAGAAAAATTTAACTTTAATATAATATTAACGAATAAGGAATTGAGTGGAGAGAAAGGGATAGCAATATAAACCTGTTCCGGCAATATGAATGATTAGTTAGTTTATTCAGTCTTTAAACTTTGTTCTTTAAATAGTCAATTCATCTCATTTGGATTTCACAAAAACAAAATCTTTTAATTTAAATTTACCAAAATTATTTATTTATTTATGATAAAAAATATTTCAAAAATATTTGTTTCAAAATTAAAAAAATATTTCTCTATTTTGTTGGAGTAACATATAAAGTTATTCCATGTTTGATAAAATATTCATTAATTTAATTCGATATAAATTTTCAATTATAGGATGAGGAAAGAGAAATGATTCCATCGTAAATGTATCCATTTAATGTAATTCGAATTCGACAAATGAAAAAGAATGAAAAAACCTTTTTCTCTTTTCATTTTCCTTTTAATAATTTATTCTTATCAATACATAATAATTTAACAATAAAAAAATTTAACACCTTTCTCTTCCTTATCAAATAAATTATTTAAGTTGTAAATTGAAAATGAAAGCATAAAAATAAATAAATATTTCGTATTCTATTGTACAATAAATATATCGTATCCTTCTGTAAAATAAATCTATCGTATTCTCTTGTAGAATAAATGTATCGTATTCTCTCGTAGATAAATCAATTATTTCCATCGATTTATGATTGATAATGATAGAGTTGAATATTTAAAATATTTTCTCCTTTTTTGATTAAGAATTTGTGAAAATTTGGTTTGTTAAAAAATTTGAGTTATTGAATACTACCAGAAAATTGTAATTATCCGATTGATGCAAAGAATTATTTTTAAAGAAACTTTTTTTAGGCTACAATTTTTTTAAAAAACTTTTTTAGGTTGCAATTTTTTTAAGAATCTTTTATAGATAAAATATTTGAAAATCAGTAGGGAAAAGGCGAAATAAATTATTTGTTTGAATGGCATAATCAATCAATACATTTTATTTATTTATTCAATATAAGTTAATGTAATTCATAAGAAATGAAATCATATTAAAATATGTTTAATTTAAATCAATAACTATTACTTCTTTCATTTAAACTTCAATATATATTTTTACTGTTTTAGCTATAAGTTTGATACCATTTAATGTTAACAGAAATTATAATAATTATTATTGGTTTTTTTAATTCGAATTTCAGTCTTACCATCGTAAAATTTAGTTCGTCATAAGTGATTCATTGATTGTTACCTTCCATAATGCTAAAAATTATGGTAATTTTTGAATTTGGTTGCAATTTATTTTCCATTCTCAATTAGTATTATATTTTAAATTTTACAATTATCCGTCCTTTTTTTCTGGTCTTCATTAAGCTCCATTTGATCGAATCATTAGTGATAGAAAGAAAGAAAGAAGCAAAAGTTTTATTTTATATTGGAAAGGTTTTTTATTTATTATTGTTTGGCATAGTTAATTCATTATGAAGTTATTTACTTTTTTCTTTTGTTCTTATGTCAACAAAATATGCTATACTATAATTTTTACCAAAACTTAAAATTTGAATTTAATTTTTGCTTTCATTTCCAACCTTAGTATCACTCATTATCTTTCTGAAATCATACATTTTATCTTATTATTATCATTAATTTTGCTTATACTATTAGTCGATTGCAATCAGGAAAAGATTGATTTGCTATGAATTAAAATTAAATATTTTTTTCTGAAAGATGTTTAAATAAGCTGTCAATTGTAATAAAGAATTTCACTATTTCTGAATGTTGCAAAGTATAGAAAAGAAAGAAAAGATTCGATTGTATTAATTGAATAAAAATGAAAATTATTTAAAGTAAGAAAAATTTTATTAAATTTTGTGTATTAATAATTTTTGGGATTATTTTTTGAATTTGACAGATTTAAATTTCATATAAACATATTTCAATCAAGAATACTGTATTCATTCTTTTCTTTTTCTTTAATCCATTTTGTTTCTTTAAACAAAAAATTTTTGATCATTTAATTCGGCTGCCTTTATCATCATTATTTATTCGGTAAATGAATAAATTAATAGCAATGAAAGAGCGTAAAATTCCGGATCACAATTTATATATGCATATGATTTGATATGTATAATTTTTAGTCCTCCGGAATTGTGGTTATTTTGACGGAAATACGAAAAAAGAAGGAAAATTTTAATCGAAAAATAAGAAAAAGGTGATAAAATTCTTTGATTATATGCTCCTACAACGAATATGCTTCTAATAATTTAAAGTTTATTGATACTTTCGAAATTTATAAAAACGATAAATGTACTAACATTTTATAGGCATGCAAATATTTGCATAAAAATTTATGGCCGATATTTCAATACCTAAATTTATTGTTTATGAAAAGTTTTGTTAAACATATTGCTAGCAAATGTTTCATTAGATAAATCGAGCAAATAGTGTTAAGAGTTGTAAAAAGTTACTGGCTTAAATAGAAATTCAATCATTTCGTACCAAATAGATAATTTTCAATTTGTACATTTCACTCATTCATATGATAGATCAATAAATAAATTAATCAAACAATTAATTAATTAATCCATCAACCAATGAAATATTTTTATCTGTATAATAGCGAAGAAAAAAGCTTGATATCATATTACTTAATTTTGCTATTCAAATTTTGATTAATCAACAAATATATTAATTATTCAACCAATCAATCAATCAATTAATCGAGCAGTCACCGAAATATTATTATCACTGCAGCGAGAAATAAATGTAACATTATACTGCTTAATTTTGATATTTAAATTACAATTAAAATCGATCAATTAGTTTTTTTGACTTTAAAGTCCTTTTTCAATTTATATGCTTGCAAATAATGCTTTATTAATTCTAACATGAAATCAATAGATTATGGATATGAAAGAGTTTCAACATTCACATTATAATAATCCAATATCGTGCCATTTTAATTTTAAAATTAACTATTGAAAAAGATAATCAGTAATCGTGAATATATAATCGAAAATTAAGAATATAATTGAAAATCAAATAACTTTCAGTTGCTAAAAAAGGAAAATGAAAAAAACTATTTTTCAGAGATTTTATAATCGTCTAATTTTCAATTTTAAGAAGAAAAGTTCACTTCAAGCAAACTTCAACCACAAATATTCTCATATTCCAATGTATATTCTTATGATATAAATAGTTGTTAAAATTTAATCCAATTTCAAATTTCATAAATTTTTAATTGATAAATTGTTCTCAAAGAAAATTAAAAAGAATTTGAATAAACACAATGAGTCATTTATTTATCATACTTTCGAATCGCACTGTCATATTTTTAAGTTCTGCTGATATTTTTTTTAAGAAAATAAATTCCGAAATTTCCTCGTCATCTTAATTATTCATTATATTGATTCCAAATAATATTAATTAAACAATAATTTTATTTTTTCAAATATACAAAATATTTCGAACTTCTTCATTTTTCACTGCAACAATGCATTATTTGAATTATCAAAATCGGATACAATAAACCGGATGACGATTAAATATTATTACCGAACAGCGATCAAATATCATTATTATTTCTTCGTAGGCAATAAAACAGACTACACTAATTTATATAATAAATTATAGAACATCGAAAGCATTCATTCATTGCAATCACATATCATTGATATTCATCGAACTATATATCATCACTGTAAATTTAGTAATAAAATAAATTCAAATCTTTTATAACCAATTTAATTTTAACAATCTTTTAACTGATTTTCAACGAAACGGAGAATTCCCAAGAATGAAGAAAAGAGAACATTGAAAATGAGAGGAAAGGAATCTATTACTAATCAATAAAATATCAAGGTAATTGAGGTGAACTTTGAGCTAATTAATCAATTAATTCATCAAATTTTTGTTTCAAATATTTGCATTCGGTAAATATAAATAAATTAAAATTTTTTTCAATTTCTAATCATCGCCGAAAGGAAACATTTTTTAATTCATTTCAAAAAGAAAAAAAGAAAAGCGACTCATAATATTTTCTAAAATAAAACAAACTTAAGGTAAAATAGCCTGAAACTAAATGAAGTAATTATTATTTAATGAAATAATCGATTTCCTTTTTACCATATCACATAAACATTACTAATTAGTTAATGAAACTCGATAAACTTTTAAATAAATTTTGCTTTTAAATTTAATTCAATTAATTTTAAGTTTTCAAATTAAATTCAAATAATATTTATTTCATACAATAATACAAATTTTCTTATATCATTCGCCTTTTTCTTGTTGATTTCAATTACTGCAATAAATGAAAATGATAATTAATTTATTAATAACATAAAGAAACAAAAAGAAAAAAAACTGTAATATTTTTATTAAAATAATTGAGCGTTAAAAGGCAAAAATTTGAAATTTGTATATGTAAAAAGAAGAATTTAATACAAAGCTGTAAGCTAAATTAGTAAACAATAAAAGACACAAATAAAAGTATTGCTTATTAAATAAGCAATCAATGAATTATCAAATAATGAAATGTTTCTCCATCATTTACTAATGTTGCAAAAGAAGTTAATCAGAAGTAATTAATGCATTAAAGATAAAACAAAAATATTGATAAAGTTTAAATTTAAGCATAAGAAAAATTTTTCTTTTTGGTATATTAACAAATCGCTTACTATAAAGTAAATGATGGAATAACCTTCCTATATTTCCCATTGTATTAATTCGTACGTTTAGTGTCCGGAATTGATGATGATAATATCATTTGATAAAAAGTCAGAAAATTCGCCCATGTATTAATGAAAAAACGGAAAAAAAAGGAAATCTGTTTAAACAGATTAAAAAAGACATAATTGTTTATTAATCACAACTCGGAAAGTATTATGAAAAAAGGAAAATAAAAAAATTTATGCTGGTAAATAAGAAAGGCAATATGATATCAACCGGATATAAAGGAATAGCACCAACCGGATGAATTTATTATCACGGGGTACATTGTTGAGAACGTATGAGTGGAAGCTGCAAATAAAGCAAATGAAAAATAATAATGGATAGTAACATTGCTAATACATATCGCCTTTTATTCATTAATTAAAATTGAAATTTCAAAAACCAAAAATTAGAAAAAGGAAAAAAAGGAAGGAGAAAACCCGAAACACTACAATTAATAATGATAATTAAATTTTTTTTATTTTTTAACTTTTCATTTTCCGGAAGAGTAAATTCAACAAGGAAAAGGAAGAAAAGTAGAAATGTCAGTGTTAGAAAAACTAAATCCTACCTTGTAAATTCTTTTTTGTTTCAAGCAATAATGAAAAGGTAACTGTCCACCGGTACAGTAATAAATTTCAAACATCTTTCCATCTTAACTTAGAGAGTTCATTCTCGTCTTTTGTTTCTGATTTGAAAGATTTAAAAGAAGGTGAGAAGAGAAAATGTGGATGATCCATAGATGTGAATAATGAATGAAATATGTAAATTGACTAATCTTTTTTAAACGAATAATTAAATTTTAGAAAATACGAGAGGGAGAGAGAGAGGGACAAAGGGAAAATAAAAGAAAAGAAAAATATCATATCTCCCTGATAAAAGTAAAAGAAGGCAAGAAATTGACTTAGACCAATAAATGAAATGAAAGCAAGTCGAATAAAATGAGTTAATAAGTTCAGAATATTAAAACGCTAAGCAAAGGATAAGAAGACAAAAAAATATGAGAACTATCAAATTCAACTAATAAATAATAATAATGATTAATAATAATAATAATAACGATAATAATAACGGTAATAAATAATAATAATACAATAATAGTGATGGTAATAAATAATAATAATAGTAACGATAATAATAATAATAATGTTAATAAATAATAATAATAATAATGATTTTTAGGCTGTTAAAAAAGTAATAACTCAATTGAATGAAAGAAAAATTTTGGAGGATTTGAATATTAAATAATATCTAAAATGAATTATCAAAAAGAGGGAGATGGAAATAATAAAAAGTTTAAGATAATAAAAGGAAAAAGAATGGATAATAGTATCATACAAAAAATGTCTTTTTATTTTAACATTAATTCTGGAATGTTTTTCTAAAAATTTAATTGCGAAAATTTTTCAAATAAATTCGAAATACAAATAATCATTTATATAAAAAAAGATAAGAGGGGAAGAGAAAAAGAGAAAGAAAAGGGAAAAAAAATTTATAATTACAATTATTTACTATTCGACTCACTAGTACTTACATATGTACGATTTAATTTTCAATCGCTGATACTTCACAGTATTTGTAATTTAACAATTAATACTTATAAAGCGTATACGATTGCACTTCTAATCATTAATACTAACATACAATATTTACACTTTAACTTCACATCATTGATACTTGAAGTATTAACGATTCTACAACAACTAATATGTTGAAGTATGATAATTCTGAAATTGTATCCTACAGGAAAACAATATAATTCGTCCAATTTGTCGCTTAAATTACTCCTTTGTGATTGTTGTCATTGATTGTTGTTGTTGTTGTACTAGTTATAATAGTATTGTCATTGGTTTTGTTATTAGCTGCTAAACAGATGACATCATTTGGAACAATTTTTTTCGGTGTAAAATTTTTGCGACGTTTTTTCGCCGATATAGCACCATTACTAGTAGCAATAGTAGCTATTGTTGACGTTGCCGCTGTTTTTATTGCTGTTGTTGCTGCTGCTGTTGTTGTTGCTGTTGAACTCATTTTTGTAATATCATTGCAACAATATGTATTAGTATTCGGAACAGTGAGATCAGAAATTAGAGATGTTGTTGACGGTGATAACATGAAAGATGAATTTTCCATGATCACAGAAGAAGTACTACAGCAGATCGAATTATCATCGGTTTGATTTACCAAATTATCAATAATATTACTACTACAATTATCGCTGTTATTAACTAATTTTGGTGCAATTGTAGAAGCGGAATTAGTCACTTGAAGGGTAATATTATTACGTCGTACAAAACGTGCCACCCAACCCTGAAAAAAAGTTAATTATCATCAATCAAACAAATCATAACAAGAATCGATCCTACGAAATAAGACTATGAAAATTTAACAATTGAACTAAACTAACTTATAACAATTTATTAAGTTAGGTTATAAAATTGAGATAAAATATTAACATGGAATAAAATATTAAAATGTAATCGCACACAATTAATTTTTTATAATGTAATTGTTACAACATTATTTTTAGCAAAGAAAGATTTTGAATATTATCGAGAAAGAAAATTTTAAATGAAAACATTATTCCTTTGTTTTTTTCCAAAATTTGTAATGATTTAAATTCACTCTTTTTGTGAAAGCAAAATTTTTAGGTATTCGTATCTTTCTTTTCTATTCAAACAATAATATGCGATGGCCTTAGAAATATAAAAATCGATTTTTTTGAAAAAAGAATTCATTCTGAAATCGTAACTAACTGTTATGTAAATATAAATATGTATAGATGATTTATTTTATTTATTTATTTATATATAAAATATATGTATATATTATTTATTCATTTATTTATTTTTTTTTCGCTCTTGAAATGTTTAAAATTTTTGAAATCATAAATTGTTAATTTTGTAGTATTTATATGAAGTGGCATAAATTTTTCTGGAGCGTACCATATTTACGATAGAAACAGATTATAATTTATCAATATAACGTTTGAAAATGGCATATTTTCAGGAAAATCAATACACTATCAATATCGATTGGAAAGTTTTTCAGGCTTTTGAAAATTCTGAATCAGCACTTTGTTGTCAAATTTTCCACTTATCAATTGAAAGGTTAAGAGACTTATTAAGACTATTTTAATTTCATTGGTAACATTTTCAATCTAAACTTACCCTAACTAATTCCTCCCTTCCAAACTATTACTACCTTTAAAAAGGGAAAAGAAAAAAATTTATCCTTTCAAATTGTTATCATTACAAATTGTATATTTAATGATAGAGAATGTACCATATTAGCGGTGAATCCACGATCACTATATTTCGGATTTCGATCACAAATATCTTTCCATAAGATATTCGCTTTTTCCTTAATATCATGCCAAGTTAGAGCTGTCTCACTATCACTCCTTGATGTCACATATTGAAGCTGTAAGTTTGTTACTATTTATCTTTAGTTTTATCTCATCTTCATTTCATTCATCTTCTTCTCTCATTTCGAAAACAAATCTCCTATAAAAAGAATAAATGAAATTTAGATATATATCTCCCTCCTACAAAGAGTCTATTAAATTTTCAAATAAAAGAAGCGATTGAAGAAGAACTGGTAATAAAACAAACAAAAGATTCAGGATGAAAATAAAAATAATAAAGAAAAATAATTCACTGAATAATTTGGTAAAACAAAATTATTGTATTTTGATTATTTTCCATCAATTTATTCATTTCAAATATACATATGAATGACTAATATAAAATGATATTTAATTATTACCCATTGAAAATATCGTATTTATATTTACATATTTGCCAAATATCTCATGATGAAGCGTAATGCGATTATCATTCGCTTTAAATTTTCATCAATAGTTTGTTCTATTATTCATTCATGATAAAGAAAAAAAGCACTATTTCATCATTTGCCAACCATTTTCATATTTTGCAAATTTGTAGCAAAAAGAACAGTGGTAATAACAAATTTTAAAAATTAATAACTGAAAATTTTAATGAAATTAATATTTTAATTCTTTTACTATTTATTATATATGCCAACCATTTTATATGCAATTTGACGTACGTCACGTAAAGGATTTTTATCAAATAGCTCTTTTTTTGATTATTTAGTAAAGAATATTTTTTCGTACAAAAAGAATTTCAAATAAGTTATAACAATATTACGGTGATATATAAGTTTCAGGATATCTTAAGTTTTCATCCGATTTTATCACTATAACAATTTAATTGTTCATTGTGAAAATCATATCTTATTCATCATATCTAATATGCTTACGAAATAATTTGAAAAATTTGAAATTTCACTAAATCTTTTTTAAGAAAAACGATTTAAAAGATCGTATTTTAAAATTTTAAAACAACCCATTCATCACTACTATGCAAAATATCGTATTTTTCGTAAATTTTTTAAAGCAATTATGCAAATTGGATAATGATAACTTCATTTACAACTCATAACAAACCAAACCGCTAAATTAATTAATTAATTAATCAATCATATTTGATTTAACAATTTGAGAAAAAAAAGCAATAAAGTGATTAAATCGAAGTAAAGTTATTTACAATCCCAAGAAAATATCTCTCAATTGAAAAACAATTTAAATAAGGAAGACAACATCTAAAATTTAAAATTTCACATTAAAAAAGGCAAAACGAAATTCATCATTATCTATTTTTCATCATTTTATTGCTTCCTTTCATATCATTTTAATTTTTCTCTTTTCTTCTTTTCATATGATATTTTCTAAACTTTGTGTCAAAAAAGAAAATGCTTGTGAAAAATGAAATTAATCATTCCTTATAGGATTCTATACGAATAAAATAAGGTGCAAATTTTTTAAAAGTTATATGCAAACAAAACAATGATAGTTTCTCTTTGAATGGCAAAAATGAATGAAAGGTTGAAATAGTTGAAAAGGAAATTTTCACTTTGTATTAATAATTAGCATTTATAAAAAAAAGAGGAAAAAGGAAAAAGAAGGAAAGGAAAATGAATAGAAGCAAAGGTTGGCAACAGTTTTGATTTAAATAAATGTATCTAAAATATGACGGCGCTAAAAAAATTGAATATTTTTATTTGATTATAATAAATTGATAGTATTTATTGAATAATCTATGAAACATAATGAATATGTATTAAATCAATAATTATGTTCAATTTATGGTAATATTATATTAGGAAGTCAAAGACGATATCGTATGTAACTGAATATAATAAAGTCAAGATTATGGTAATGGTAATAAATATCCATATTAAATTTAATTTAATATTTCTATAATTTTTTATAAGATAATTCTGAATGAGGATTTTTCGCTTTACACGAAATGAAAATTTAAGCGAAAAGTTAGATGGATGATTCTTTTTAATCATCCAATTAATCATTATCATCAATTATTGTTGATGTTATCATCACACATTATAATTTTCATTGACGCTTCCACTATCATTATTAATATTCCTAACTCTATCATAAAAAATATTTATCGAGATTTTACAACTGCAACAATGACTAAATCAAACTTAAGAATAGTAATAATTATGATAATTCATTCCTAAAGCTTCAAATGAGCTAGATATGTTTTATAAGTCAATTTTGAATAAAGTAAATCATTGTCATACTGCGAGCGGTAATTCGAAAATTATCATTGTAATTACTAACTAATCAATTGAAAAATTAAGTGCACTATTAAGATCATAACGTGACACAGATAGCTATATGATATATTTCTTATAATGATAATTTTTACTAGTGTATTACTACTGTATAGTATGACAGTTAATATTAATATTAATTTATAAATTAGCAATTTTTATCCATCAGAAATTCTAATTTATTAATTAATTATTACTATTGTAAAACAAATACAGTTAAAACCTAGATACTGTATATAATTTCAATATTGGCATCGTATTTTTTTTATAACTAACCAAACCCTTTTCAAGATCTTCGGAAACTGGTCGTCGTCTGCCATCATCCAACCGTGATCTTTCTGGTGCAGTTTCAAACATTGACCTGTTAAAATGAAGTTTTTGTTTATTTTTAAATTTAAAATATTTTATTCTTCTTTTAAATGGTAAATCTTCAAAATCATTATTAATACAGCAAAAATAAGGAAAAGTTAACAATACCTAAGCCTTTGCTCATTCTTCCTCCATTCACGTATTGAACTTTCTGCAACATTAAATTCTCGTCCGGCTGCTCGATTTCCAATTATCTGCAAAATAATTCTCATTCCATAATTTCAGGATGAATCTAAATCGTACTAAAAAGAATTTCTATTAGAAAAAAAAATTATTCGAAAACATTTTGTCTATCTTCGCTTCACTCTGTTGAACAAACGAAGCATCCATAAAATTAATTCCAACCATTTAATAAGTTTTAGGTCTCTCTTCCATGAAACTTTCAACAAAAAGAAAAAATGCCATTAAATATTCCATAAGATTGCATCGTTTAAATAAATATATCTATCATTTATATTATAACTTATTGATCAAATTCATTTTCAATAATTTCTCGAAAAAAAAATCATAAATTTGTTAAGAAATTTTAAGTGACTTTTGAAATTCTTTTAAAAGCTATTTTGTGAGATAAAAACTTCTTCAATTAAAATTACTTTTTTCGACAAAATTTACGAAATTTTTTCTTTTCTCCAAAAATTTTACACTTTTCCGTTACTGCTATTTTCAATTAAATTTTTATTATTATTCTTTATTATTATTATTACTATTATTATTTATTATTTATCATTTATCATTTATTTATCATTATTTATCATTTATTTATTTATTTATTTACTTATTTATTTGTTTATTTATTATTATTATTATTATTATTAATATTATTATTATTATTAATATTATTCTCATTCATTCATCACTTAGTTATCTAATTATAAATGGTAAAATTCATTTTTTTCAAAAAAACAGAAAAGAAAAAAATGTGAAGAAGGAAAATGATAAAAATGAATGACTTTAGCATAGTCGATAATATCAAGTTTCTCTTCCAAAACATATTGCTTTAATTTTCGACCTTTTTGTGCTACCATTGATTCTGTACCACAATTGTTACCATCATTATCAACCATCATACTACTACTATTGCTGCTTCCACCACTTTTCATTGGCACAGGCTAAAATTGTTTTAAAAAAAAATTTTTTTTTCCTTTTCAAATATTATTGCTAACTTATTTTTTATTGGATAATAACTGCTGACAGACGAAATAATTAACACAGTAACTACTGATATATCTATTACTGTAATTTATGATTACAGTAACATATTAAAATGTATTTATGAAAACATTCATAAAGAATGAAATAAACTTGTGTATTATCTATTATTGTCATAAAATTTTTGCTATCAATGTTATCAATTAGTAATATCTATCTATTCATGTCATCAACATCTTAAAACATATGTCATTCCTACTATATATGAATTATTTTTAGATCTAAATTTTTGAAAAATTACCACCTAAAGATTAACTTAATCCCTTATCTTACGTATAAAATATTATCGCAATAAATATAGCAACTGCGAGACTCACAATTATCATTCTTATCAGTATTTAAAAAGCTAAATCATATTGTCACTCTTATCAATATTTACAAACTTTTTATCAAACATATACATAAATATAATAAATTGGTATATTAAAGAAAAGCTTAATTAACTGATTCATTTTTACTTCTTCATTCTGTTTTTTCTTTCAAATTAAAATTTATTTACATTCCAATTCAATTAATCAAAAAGAAATCACATTTTTAACAATTATAGAAATTCGTTTTTATTCTTAAAATAAAAATTAAAAAGTTTCAATTTTTATCAAAAACTTTTCTTAATTTCTCATCTTCCCATACTTTTTTCTTTACTTACTTATTTACCTTTCTCTTTCTTGATGTTGTTGCATCCAAATTTCCTGTTGCAATATCGTCAACCATATCGGATATTGATTAGATTATACATGTAGAATGATAATTGTTACAGTATATTATATTGCCGTTTTTGTTGTTGTCGTTGTCGTTGTCGTTGTTGTTGTTACTTTTCTTAGCAAATAAAATGATTGAACAAATAATAACAATAACAATTAACAATAATAATAATTAGTAATAATATTAATGATGGTAATAATAAATAACAATAAAAATAATTAATAATAATAATAAGTGCCATCTTTGAAACGGATAGATAATATTTGCATTTACACTTAAATAATGCTGCTTTCGCGTTTTTCCTTATCAATCAAAATTTACACAGAAATTTATTTTTCTATTCCATTCGTTTTATTTCATAAAGTCAACTAAAGAAGTATAAAAAAAAGTGAAAAAAAATCAAATGAACGGAAAGTTTAGTTAATTATATGTAATCATGATAAGCAATCATTATCATTATTTTATTAAAATGTAGATAAATATTTATACGACAATCGAAATTATCGAAATAAAATATTTAATTTTAGTTCCTTCTTTATTATTTCTCTCTCCTTCATCTCCACTTCACTTTTTTTCTTTTCCTTTCTGATCAATGATATGATTTATAATCAATTTTTCCGGATATAATAAATTGATTCGGAATTCCAAAGCTACATATATACATGCTTACCTCTTCAGAAATTTTTATCTAAACGAATAAAAAATGACAATATTTAACTGCTGCAATAGTATTCGTGATAATAGTGATAATGGTTAAAAGTAATACTGTAGTGATAGTAGTAGCACTATAGTGATTGTAGTAGTGGTAGTGGTAGTAGTGGTAGTGGTAGTAGTGATTGTAGCAGTAATAGTGGTAGCAATAGCAGTGGTAATAGTTGGTACAGGGATAGATGGATAGAAACGGACAGGGTGTAGTTTAGCAAAAGGGAAGCTTTTTGATGATGGTCTATTGCTCCAGCTGCTACCACACACTGCTTGCTGTTAGCAATGATCCTGGATAGTGGTGGTGGTGCTGGTGGCGGTGGTGGTAGTAGTAGTGGTTATGCTGCTGCTGCTGCTGCTACTGCTGCTAGTTGGCGATAGTGATTATAATGACTGTAATGATAACGATGACGATAATGATTATGATGATAACAGATGCAGTAACAGTAGTAGCAGTAGTGACAATAGTAGTAATAATAATAGTAGCAGTAGTAGTAATTAGTAATAGTAGTAATAGTAGTAGTAGTAGTAGTAGCAGTAGTAGCAGCTAATGGTGGTGGTGGTCGTACTGACGATGATGATAATGATAGAAGAAAGGGAAAGCAAGCAAGAATGAATGGAACGAAACAACGCGCGGCTTTTTTGAAAACAGCCGCGCGATCAGATGCTATTTTGGTAGTGTCTATTTATTGATGATGCTGGTGCTGATGATAATGATGATGATGATGATGACGATAACGATGATGATGATGGTGATGATGATGATGGCGACGATGATGATGATGATCAGCGATATTTGCCATCATTGCTTCACATATACGAAAAGCGCAGTCCGACACCATCACTAGCCTAGTCTCGAGATCAATCATCATCATCGGACTCTTTTTCCACACCATTGAGACTTTGCTTTCATACATACATAGAACAGAGACGGACGGATACATACATATTCATACATACTGCCGTCATTCAAAGAGGAAAATTTTCAGGATTACATATATGCATTCTCTTACTCTCACTCTCCTTTTCAAAGAGAAAATTTTTGGATGGTATGGGAGAAGAGTGAAAAATGGATTTTCGATCGTACCAACAGGCGGAATGTTGGTTTAATGGTATGCATGTGTATGCATATATATATATGTGTGTGTGTGTGTGTGTGTGTGTATGTCTGTGTGCTTATGCCTATTATATATATATGCGTGTATGTACGTCCGTGTATGTTTACTTTTATAACTGCGCAGTTTTCATATATGATAACATAATATAGATGAGATGAGCGTGGATGCATTATATGTGTTTACAACTATAGAACTGTAGAGATTTGTTTTCTATCAGCAAGATGATGTACACACACACACACACACACACACACACACACACACATGTATGTACAAACATGCATACAGAAACAGACAGACGCACACATACATATATCATTAGACTTATTCAAATATATTTTTTGACATAATTCATGCATATGTAATTATCAACCAAGTTTATTTTCATATAATATCATAAGGGAAGATGCTATAAACATACAATTTGATTCTAATCAACCGAACAATGATAATCACATCTTCATTGTATGTATGTGTACATACATACATGCATGTATCCACGTGTGTGTGTGTATGTGTATGTGTGTATGTTGCAGGTGATGACAATGACAGGTGTGATGATGACGTTTAATAAACCTTTCCATTCGAATGATACTTTATCGATGCAATAACAATTATTGTTATGGTTAATGCATCGATTAGCAATTATTTGCTATAATAAAAAATAGATAACAGCAATTATCCTCATATTTTCTACATTTTAACTCATACTCTGTTACCGATATATTTTTATGCCATATAATAGTAATAATAATAATAATAATAATTGATTACTGTTAATAATAATTAATAATCAACAATAACAATTAATAATAATAAAAGTAATAATGAATATTAACACTAAATAATAATAGTAATAAATAATGGAAAGACCTCATAGTAATTGCACATTTAGTAGATGTTGTTTATTATTGGTGTGCAATGATGAAGTAAGCAGAGATAAATGCTTTAACTCATTGACCGAACGTATCGGAAATATTTGGCCGAATGTATACCGAAATATGTGGTCAAATGTTAAAATACGTTTCTTCGACGGTAATAGAGAATGGAATATTCTCAGAATTGATAACTTATATTGGAACATATATGCTGATGTTAATCAGTTTCAATGCTGTTAAGTTTATGCGTGTACCAAATAATGGATAAGCAATTGATAATTTCGGAACGGTCAATATTAACGAATCTATGATATCGTTCGTCTATCTTACAATTTCATTAATTCTTTCAAATTTATGTTCAACCATTTTAGAGTATGAATCATTCCTGTAACTTAAAAAAAATAAGAAATAAATATAAACAAATATTTGATTAAATTTTACAGAGACTTGAAATTATTTGTTTTGTAAAGCTTTTCTTTTTTATTATCTTTCATCAAAAATTTACATAAATAAGAAGGACTAAATCAATGTGTAAATAATAAAAGTTCAAAGTTAAGCTAAGTTTGGCATCATTTTTAGATTTCTCTTTCATCTTTATTTAAATTTTTCTTGATAAAAGTTGTGGCAGTTGCTATTGAAATATTAGCAATGAAAAGAGAAAAACGATTTATTGATAGAATAATAGTAACGGTGTACAAACTAATAAATCATAATTAATTAATCAAATATGAAATGACAGAATTGGAATAATTTTTTTGATTTATTAAAGTATAGTTTGGTGAAATATGTAATGTAATGATTGCAAAAAAAAACGAAAAAAATTAATTTAAATGGAATTTAGTGTATGATTGAAAAGTTTTCAGTTTCATTTTTAAGACAATTGGAATAGTTAACAAATATATAAAAGCTATCTCTATTAAACAATTAAAATTTATTCTTTAATTTATCAAATATTTAAAATTCTAATTTTTGCATGTAATCAGAAAATACTGAACAAAATGGTCGATAATAACGAAAACTGATTATAATATTTTATGTAATAATATCCGTAAAAGAATGCTTCATTTCCGGATTCCAAAAAGGAGGAAATTATAGGATAATTGTTGGATAGATGGGAAAATAAAATAAGAAGCTATGAACTTCCATTTATTGAAATTTTCCTGACAAAATAAGGAAAACAAGAGAATTGTTCTAACAGAGAATTTTTTGTGAAACATTCGATAATTGTGAATTTAGAAATGTTTTATAAAATTAAACATTTAACTTTATATGGATATATTGTTATTGTTGTTTTTATGAGAAAGAAGTGAAAATGAAAACTGAAATGGAATGAATGTATAGAAAAGGAATGAACTTCTTCACTGAAATCATTTTGTTAATTATTGGTTGTACCACGTGATCCACCACTGCCACCACCACCACTACCACCTGAAATTGAATAATAAAATTTTACAGTTATCGAATGAAACAATAAGTACTGCACGGTGTTATTAATTCAATTAGTCTAAAATATGATGCATGATGAAGTTATTTCGATTTCTCAGCAGAATCATATCCATTTATCATTGAATTATTATTGAATAATCATTACCTTTGATAATTCATATTTTTTATCATTGCTTACCGGTTTCCATTGGATTCGTTTGTTCGCTTCTCGGATTTGGCTAAAAATTTCATAATTCAGGAATTAAAAGATTTTGAAATGATACATAATATTAAATGATATATGTATAATGTCGTTATGATTATCAATGTTATTTTGATTCATTTGAGATAAGTTAGATATTATATGAGAGATAGAAATTTGGAATATAATTAATAAATTAGAAAAAATCAATCAATAATTCCTATTTTTTGATATTACATTCCTTTCTTGCAATAAATTCCAATAAAAATTTAATTCACAAATAAATGTTAGACATTTTTTTTGCCTTTTTCATATATTTCAAATTGCAATTGTTATAAATTAATGAAATAATAATAATAAAATAGTGAAATTATTTCAAATAATATAGTATTCATGTTTTTCTAATTAATTCATAACTGTTCAATAATCAAATGATAGATGTGATGAAATTAATTTGATAATTAGAATTAATATATTTTAAATCAATAATACAATAAAATTAATTTATTAAAGTGAATCATTAAGTCAATAATAAAATGAAATTAATTTGATATTTTGAACTAATTATAATACTTTGAAATTCAACAATATAATAGGGTTAATTCAACATTCTAAAATATTTCAAATCGATAATTAATTTTTAAAAGATTCGAAATTTATGCTAATTTCATGCGATACATTCATTTTAAACAAAAATATTTGATCAGAAAAAATTTAATGAATTAAAAAAGATGAATAAGTTTAAATTAGAATGAGAAGACAGACATTGGTGGCAGCTGCTTGAGAACCAGAATTTGGAATAATTTTCCCAATTGCTACATTCGCATATTCCTTTGTTGTTTCTGCTAAAAACAAAACATTTAAATATTGTCACTATCATATCACAGGTTGGTTTCAAATAATTTCATTAAATTTAAGAATTTTTTTAATTTTGAGAATGAAAAATTTCTAAGTCTTTTTACATAAGAAAATTATATTTTTTTTGTGATATGATAATGAGGAAAATTTGATAATGTGTTAAGAAATAATGATAAGAAATATTTCAAAAATTTTTACTAAAGTTAGCATATATCAAACAAAAATATCATTTAGATTAAATCAATTCTTATCAGACAAATATTCTTAATAAGGCTATATAATTAATGATAATTATTAATCCTGAACAGGTGTTAAATTGAATTAAAATAAAATGAGCTTAACACAATTATGCCTAATATACAACTAAAGAAATTTTTAAGTAAATTTCAATTTTGGTTTTTAACTTCATTTTTTCGTGATTTTTATACAGAGAAATAAATTAGTCATAGCAGTATAAACATATTTATATTTCTAACATTTTTTTATGATAAGAATATTAATAACAATTATATGATACTATAATTACTCTGTAAACTACGACATTCTACAGTAATCGGTGTACAAAAAGAATATTATTCTTATAACTCATACTAAAATGAGTATTTATAAGGTTCCATTTGTTTTAGTAAAATTTATTTTAAATCAAATGTTTAATTTGATAATTATTACTGTTATTATGATAATAACTCGTCGTATGGTTTTCATGCTAAAAAATGAATAAGTACTAACCAGCTGTTTGGACCACCTCTTTCGTTTTATTGAATAACGATTCGAGAGCATTTTTCTGTAAGATAGCTAAGCGTTAAGTTTAATTAGAAAAGTTTGATGAGAATAAATTAGAACTAAATTAAGATGAACTAAAATTTAGGTTAAAATAATTTTATAATAAATATAAAATAATTCATAATAAACGAAGTACCATTCAGTAATAGCAACCATATTAAATAAAGTTAAATCAAATAAAATGATTTTCCTCACTTTTTTCTAATTTTGAAATTATTATAATCAACTTATTTTGATAGTTTATGGAAACAAACAAAACAAATTTGATATTAACCAAACAGTAATAAATATAAATAGAAATTGGAAAAGGTCAAAATGTTAAATAAACAAATGCTTCAAAATAAGCTTAATAAGCTTATAAATATCTAAAAGAATTGGATAATTTGTTTTAGAAAAATTTTGAAAAGAAATGAAAAAAGAATAAGAAAAGATGTGAATTATGCAATGATAAGCTTAATTTCCTTTTGAAATGAAGTTTTGAAATTATTTATAAATGAAAAGAGAAAATCATTTTAGAAGGAAATTAATGGAAAATAAGATTACTTATTTGCAATAATTAAATTCATTAAATCTTCTTTTTATTCAAATTATAAGCCTAAAAAATTATTCCATTTGAATTAGCCATTTCGAATTTTTGCCGAAAAAATAAGAATGCAAAAAATTTTTAACAAATTTTAGATTAATGCAAAATTTTATCTCCGAATTATCTAATGGTAATAATGAATATATGATATTTAAAAATATTATGAAATTATTTTTTGAATGGATTGTAAATCGCTAAATGATAAATGGTTCATATAATGAAATTTGCATTTATATCAATGCTAAAATTCTTATTTGTGATGTTTGCTTTAAATTACGACTGAATGAGAAGTTGATTCACTTCCGAGAAATAAGTTATAAAAACTTTAGAATAATAAAATTTGCAAAAAACTAATTTGCCTTTTCTCTTTTGAATATATTTTAAAAAGAAATAAAATAAATAAATAAAATGAAATATGAAATTTCTGATCGCTATTTCATCTTTATACTTAACCAAAATAAATTCTAACGACAGAAAGGACTTCCCTTTTTTCTCTTTACTTTGAGGCCTAATTTTTCATCCCTTTGATTTATGCTTCCTTATTTTATGCTTACTGAATTAATTTAATTACACAACAAAAAAAAGTCATAATTTAATTAATTAAATATTTTATATTTAAAGATATAAATATAATTCACGCTAATTACGTTAATGAAAAAGCTAAAGCTAAAAATACTAAAGTCAAAAAAAAACATTACTATGTCCAAAATTATTTCATAGATAATTAATCAATAATAATTATCTCAATCCATTTGTTTGTTTAAAAATATTTCAACTATAGAGTATAATTTTTTAATTTAAATAAAAATATTTCTATTTAAGAGCAATCAACGATTAGAAAACAGAATTCTTATTCCTACAATTATTTTATTGCTGCGAAGAAAACGGAAAACGAAATAAGAATTCCGTTTTCCGCTTCGTATCATTAAAAGAAGTGTGGGAAAAATTTTTTTTGAATAATCAAATATTAAGAATAGCAAAAAAGGAAAAAGTTAAATTTGCTAGGCATTTAAATTAATTTAATATTTTCTGGGAAAAATATTTGATAGTTATAAGAAGATGAAAACAACAAAAAATATTTGAAATTAATTATGAAAAAAATTGATAAGTATCAAATTTTTGTTGATGTCAGAAATTATTCCACAGATATTAGTCGATAATAATTATCTCATTCCATTTGTTTATTTAAAATATTTCAATTATGAAGTATATAATAACAAAATAGCTACAGTAGTAAATGTTGGTTATGAAAACAGAAAAGATAAATAAACGTGAAATAATTATGTAAGATAAATAATCCTAAAATACATAAATAAAATAAATGAAAACAATCGAAATATTTCATTGAAAATAACCCAACTAATTATTAATTAATAATTGAAATATAAACTTGACACGTGAAAATTTGACATTTTCAAGGTTATGTATCAATGCAAAAATGTGCGAAATTCCTTTTTTTGTATGAAATGATTAAAAATAGGATAAAACAAAAAGTACGAAATAAATATCGAAAAATGTTCATTTCCCCATATATGTACATTTCTCGAATATTATATGATATCGATATTATTGTATTGAAATTACCGATTTATTAAAATTTCGTTAAAATTTAAGATATCATAAAACATATAGTCTTAATAATTTTCACGAAAGTTAAGTTGAAAAAAATCATTACTGTACTATGGTAGTGAGACGATAATAAAATAGCTACAGTATTAAATGTTAACAGAAGAGATAAATAAACCTTAAATAATATATACATTACAATGAATAATATTAATAATGAAGAATATATACAATGAAGTCATCAAATAAGAATAATTTAAAGAAAAAGAATATTCCTTATGTATTTCATTATTTTTCATAAAATTTGATTAGAGAATGAAAGAAGGAGAGAAAGAGGAAAGGAATGAATGATTTTATCTTTCACTCATACGTTTTCCGTTCATTCCGGATCATAATTACTGAATCAACCGATAAAAAAAATGTAATATTAAAAGTAAAAATAAAGAAGGAAATAGTATTACTTTCTTTCTCTCACTTATTTCAATATTTTCTTCGCTTCATATTATTTAAAATATTAAAAAATGTTTGTTAATAAATATAAAAAATGATATTAAATATTTATTATTATTATTACTATTATCATTATCATTATTATTATTATTACTATTATTATTATTATCACCATTATTATCACTACTATTATTATTATTTTCTCTTTAATTAAAAAGCCTCAAAACAACTGCAATATATTTCTTATAGCTATGATAAAATTTTTAATTATAAGAATATATTTTATATAAATAAATGAAAATAAATAAATGACATACCGCTGCATCGCCACTGCCAGCCATTTAATATTATCGTTTGATATTTGCTGTAATTGTTGAATGGAAAAAGAAAACAAAGGAAAAATAGGAATAAGGAAGAATAGAAAGTATGAAAATGAAGCAATTCGAAAATCAGCTCAAATCGAAATTTCAATTTATATCCTTCTACGTGCTGAAATGCACAAACCAGAAAGAGTAATCGAAAATAGGCGATATATATTTTTAACTTTACGCTTTAGTTGTTTGATTCGATTTTCATCTCTTTCTTTCCACTCTTCTCCCCCACACACACACACACAGACACAGACACACACACACATTCTGGATTCTGGCCTAGTCTTTAAGGACCTGACAGATGCCTTAAAAAAAAAAGCTTTGAAGAGTATTAGCTATCCATGGCTTTATACTACATATGCATCTTTTCGTCATACATATATGGTTCTTATTCATCGATTTTAATGTTTGCCGGAAAACTTACTTTCTCTTTTATGGATTAACAAAGAACCTATGTTTTTAACCATCTTTTATTCCCTTTTTCTCCTTCCTTTTCGAACTCATTCATCTAACTGTCTAGTCACCTAATTGTCCTATCCCTTAATAGCATTTTTCATGAAGAATTTACAGAGATGTCCCCTCACTACTTTCATCTTAACAGAAATTCTGAAAAGGAATTTTTTTAAACAAAAAATGACTGGCAAATAATAAAGTGAAGATCCTATCATGTTTAGTTTTTTCAATTTTCATGAAAAATATTGAAATCGGAAAGAGAAGAAAAAGAATTATGATAAATATAATCGACCGACATTATCATAAATATAATTGACAGACATTGTTTAGCATTCGAAAAGATAAATGAATCGCACTTTAATATGATCCCACAGATTATGTCACTTTTTCCCATCGCCAATTTGAAGCGATGAAAACTGCCATTCCTTATTCTGTTGGTAACTATCTATATCGATAAATAAAAGGTTAAAAAATCTGATCTTTATTTTAAAATGCACGGCTTGAATCCATAAATATGAAAAAAGAATGGCGTATGTATAATAATATGCGGCAAAATTTTAGAATCGTCATTACATAAATGAACATAAAAAAAGAATGATAATGTTTTCATTTTAATCTTTGAAAAATATGTGAATAATAGAAATAAATAGAAACAAATAATTACGACGTTTAAATTAGAAAAACGGACAATAATAAGCAAATATTATAAATGCCAAATGAAAGAAAAATTGTCTAAGTTGGATTGAGCGAGAAAACTTTTTTATAAAAAATATGATTTTCACTGTAAAAAATAGTTCGCAATATTTTCAAGATTTCAATGAATCACAAATAAATTTAGAAGCATTTCGTTCCATCAAACTTTTCAAATAAATAACTTCTTTTTCTAGACAATTCATTTCGGCTTTCAATTCTATGTTACGCAGCTCAAGCTTATGCAATTCTTGCTTCTTCTGTTTTGCTTTTTCTCGACGCTTACCTGTAAACACAAAAAAAAATTGCATCACCAAATAAATGCACCGGTAAACAACTGCTATAAATTAATATGCTCCGGGATGTCTACATATAATCAGTTCGCTCACCACCTAAAAAAGTGATGATTTTAATGGCCCCATAGTTTATCAATGAAAAAATAAGGAATAAATATATCCTTCAACTTAAATTTACTCTATAATAACCCATGCTTACCTCTGTATCGAATAGCTGCACAACGATTTTGCGCCCGTTTGCGCTCACTGATACCATCAAAACATGTCCTGTTCACTGCAAACTTTTGTCCTTGATTTGAGGAGGGAACAGTATTGCGCTTTTGATGAACATTGTCGTCCAGGACCTTTACAGTACCTGACTGTGTTGTCTGAAAATTGAATATTCCTTTATTTTTAACAACAAAATCCTTCGTCTACGAAATTTATGGATAAGCATGACAATCGAATAACTGTGATTTTGAAAACAGGCTCTCTAATCATCGGAAACGTTATTAAATGCATTCTGGAGAAATAGCAAACATTATTTTAAGGGTAGAATAATGAAAATAAACTAGCAAAAGAGACTATAAATTTATCTTATAAAAAAAGTTATTTTTGTCAAAAATATTAAACAATAAAGAAATTGTTATTGGGGACTTACATTAGTCAAGATTTCATCATTTTTCATTCCTTCCATGGACGTTAGCATAATAGCTGGATGATTTTCCTTCGCTCCTGGTGTTGTAACGACTGTCATATCGACATTCGTTTTTTTCATGTTAAAATTATCATTAATACTTTTCATATTAAAATCATCATTTGAATCTAAAGTAGTAATCCCATAAACATTCATGAATTCATCTAGCCACGAAATATCACTATCATCATAATAACTCGATCGATCACTTCCACCATCTACATTGCATAAAAATTGTCCATCATTTCGTATTGCTGTTGACGCGAAAATCCGTTCCAATACATCTTCGAGATCATCGCCCAATAAGTGTCCTTTTGAAAGCTTAGAATCTCTATCTGCATACCTGGAATCAGAACTTTAAGGAATGCTTTGAACAATGAAAACGAACTAAAGTAGTTTCAAAAGTTAACAAGAACTGACAAAACCGAATATCACTACTGACAAGCACTGAGTTCCAAAAACCAGAAAAGGTACCTAGAAGTGGCTTTGGGAGGACTATTATCAACGTAGCCTATGAAACAATCAGACAGTAAGTTGTCAGCTTCTGGAGATGGGATCCCCCAGAAAGGTACCACGCAAAATTGATCGTCCATCACTGTTAACTGAAAATTAGAGATTATCAGTCATCTACAAAATACGATTTTTTGAATAAATAATGATATTAAATGTCCAAAATAGTAAATTTGTCTGCATAGATTTAATGAAATTTAGTGTAACTGATAGTTAACAGTGATATAATGTGATATAATATAATGCATCAGAATAAAATTGTAACCGTTAGCTAAACATTCCATGAAACTCTCAGAAACAATTAGGTAATACAAAAATTATATTTTATTAAATCAAATTTGTCGCATACTTGATCTTTGCTCACAGGAATACTTCAAAAGAGTTGTGCACGCAAAAGTGAATGAATCGAAGAAGTTGAAGAGAATCATATTGAATCTAAAATGGACATAAATAAATGCTGCAATAAGTTATAACCATTAACAATCTTAAACGCCAACGATTTTGGATATTGTCAAACTGTTTCTCAGAATTTAGTAGCGAACAGCTACTCTATTTAATTCATTTCAGAAATCAGTACCTAAAGTCGACAAACATCATAGCTTGGGAATGTTTCTTTAGTCAAAAGATCTACTGTTTAATAGCATCTAGCTATTAAACAGTAGATCTTTTCATATTCCTTATGAACCCTTGCTATGATAATAAATTGGCACATATATGCTAAATGTGTCAGATAGTACCTCACAAATATCGCCACCTTCCGATCCAGATAAATATAGAAGCTAAAAATACTTATGCTTGAAGGTTTGTAATTAAATAGCAAGGATAATAATTGAAAACTGACCGGTTTATTTGCTTTGCTCTCACACGGTTGCGAGCAATTAATTAAGCAAAGGACATCATCGTATTGCGTAATAAATAGTCCTGATTTAGCCTAAAATGACGTATCATATATAAAAGTTGACGCTATACGTGTCGTTGTGCACGTCATATCTACGCGTCAACATTCACATATTCTAACTTAAAGAATACTGTAAAAAGTCATCAACAGTTCTAATATCCGCTATGAAAACTTCATTCCTAAAAATCTAATTGTTCGGGTATTATTTTATATTATCATTATAACGCAATGGAACTCCTGTCACACATGTCTAATAGCCAAACACGCACAACTACCATATATATGCATTCATTTCACGTACATACTAGACAAACTTGTTATCATATCCGGTACAAGAGAGAAATCAATCTCTACATCGTCTGATACACTCTGCCTTCCCGTTTACCCCAATATCCTTCCCTAAAAACTTCGCCTTTCTCACTCCACCACATCAGCGAAAGTTCGCTCACATACACACGCACACACACACATATACACATACACATACATTTATGCAGATTTACATATCCAAGTTTCTACATACATCCGTGTAGATACAGACACAGACACAGACACAGACAGACACACACACATATACTCTTGCGGATTGGTATGTAGTTGATGTGAGCTCATTTTGCTTTATTACTATGGACGATGGGTCTGTGAGATTGCACAGAATTTTAACACAAACTTTCAATATGCGTTATTTGTAGTTTTTGTGAATTTAATGTGAAAAAGTTTTATTTCCGCTTCGATGAAAGTTAATTTTCACGTTGTATCGATCAGTGAAAATTGATATTTGAAATCATTCATTTTAAATAAAAATAAATTGATTTCCGTTTCTGGCTCTATAAATAATATAATCCTTCTCATATTCCCCTTTTCTCTCGTTCTCTCTTCTTTTTACGTTATGCTCCATTGTATTTCTCAAATTAAGTTTCTAAAATGATTAGCAAATTGGATACAAATCCTCCTGCTCCTCTATCGTAGTATCACATTACCTTGCGATAATTTCGATTATCAAACGTGTTGTAATTATCTCCTCTACCTTTCTCTTCTTTCATTTTATGCCTACGATTACTCATTTGCGTATGTTTATCATTCGTTGTTCTTGCATATCTTTTCTCATTTCTAATTCTTCATTTAATGCCCTGCTGAATATTGTTACTGACTATCACTTCTTATCACTCGTGGAAATTTGATACACTATACAGTGGAATATTTAATTATCAATTTTTATTACTTTTTCTTATTTGAGGAAATTGGTAAGAATAATGGCAAAGTGAATTTTTATACATCAATATATATATATTATGAATTAATGTATGTGATTCATGCTTTTTTTGCTGTGTATTTTGTCATAATTTAATTGAAAACATAAGAATTTATTTTCAGGAAAATAAAGAATATGATTGATTGAAATATCATTTGCTGGTCACATAAGAAATGATAGCAGAGGAATAAAAAATAGGTTAGCACTTAATTCACATTTTAGATTTTCCTTCAGAACAATCCATTAATATTTCCTTCAGCGTTGTACATTGCATGTTGCAATATCCTGTACTCGTATCTTCCCCCTTACTTTGTATTAAAGTAAGTTTTTTATAGTGGTATCATTTGGTAAGAGAAAATACTATCGAGGAAAATAATTTAATACTAAATGTGTTTTTTTTGCATACGCTCACATACAGTAATCTACACGATTTAATTTTACTTTTCAGCATTTTGTGTTATTTCATATATTTTTATGCTCACATCATATACATGTCCTTTTTCCCTATGTAATTTATGATTTCTAGTTTTTATATAATTTTTAGTTCTGCATGAAGAATTTAGAAATTTCATTATTGTAATCAAGTGAAATTGTCAGTCTAAAATTTCACTGAAACGTCCAAAGTAACTAGATTTTATGACTGCGTTTTTTTTCTTTATAATAGATATAGCCACAAAAGATACGTCATTGATTTTATCAGTTTTTTTGGTTATTTATTTTTATATTTTTTGTTTCTATTTTTATTAAGGATGGTCAATATATGTTTGATATATGGTTGCTCAACGCTGTATTGCTTCTACTTAAGTTAGTTAATTAGTTCATAGTAGGACTTCGGTACTGCCGCATTATATTATATTAATGTTAATAAATTGTTGTGTTTATGTTTTTATGAATTCTGATTTTCGTCTTTTGTTTTTTCTGTTAATTTTTCTGCTATAGTGGGTTGTATGCTTTGACTGAAAAGAGTCGAAGATTGTGGCTTTGAATACGATATCTCAAATTGGTTTTTGTTTTTTGGCTGCTACCATTAGTTTGATTGACGGAATATGCTACAGGACAATTGAATTATCACACATAGTACATTATTTCGATACTTTTTTTCTCTATTTTCAACGATTTGTTTCTCTGTTAACTTATTCAAACAGTTGTTTTTATTCAATATTTAGTGAAATGTTACTTTTTCGATTGCTATTAGTTTTGAGCAAAATTATTAATATTGATAAGATTGAAGGATAGCATTCAAGAGGTTCCTTTTAATCCAGTTGCTTGCTGCTTAGTAAATTTAATATAAAAATTTTTTAAATAATTTTCATCATCCACTTGTTCTTTAATCTTTCATATTTTCTGCTCTTCAAATATTTCAAATGCTATATTTAGTTATTTATTTTAAGATATCAAAAATTTGGTCCCGTGTTTTTTTGCTTGGCTTTTTCCTTTTACTGAAAGCTCTGCTATGAAGAATAAGTGCGACATTTTAGAAGCAGAATTACTGTGAGTGGTTTTTTTTCGACGAAAGGATTGCCTGATTTGGTGTTCTTTCGTGGAAATTTTCGAAATCACTGGGTAGGACAGACGGTTTCTCAATAGAATTTTTGATGGATGGTTGTTTATTTGTTCTTTGTTTTTTAAAGCTAGTCAATTATATTTTTATTTTTTCAAAAGAAGCGAAAAAACTTTTAATCTTTCTCAAACACAAGATTTCTGCAAATTGTTTAAATCTTAGTTATTTTCTGTTTGCTTATGAAGTAGTTAACTTAAAATATGAAGATAATTGATTTTTGGATCTGGATAGGAAAAAGATTACAGTTGAGGAGCGATATCGAACATCAGAATGAGAATTAAGTAGATTTCTCAAATTCTCTCTATTGTTTATAAGAAGAATCAATGTTTCTCATGAGATTGTTTGAGTGGGAAATTGCGAATGCAAGTTTTTTTATTTTATTTTCATAAAATTTGTTTAATTTTATAATTTTGAAGCTGAATCGGTTTCAAAAAATATCCAGTGGAATATAACTTTATTACTTTGCATAAGTTAGTCCATTACTGGCTGACTTTTCAAATTTCTAGTTTATGGCTGTAGATTCTTTTTATTTTGGAGTTTTTTAGCAGTCTTTTTGTTAAATGTTATGATCATCTCCATATCCATTTCTTTCTAAATAATAAATTCAAATTCCATTAGGAAATAAAAGAACGTGAGGAGGCAACTGAAATAGACTACTTTTGGATTCGAAAACTTTGCTATGTTAGAGTTATAATGCGTTAGCAATGATGTTGGTTCTATGTCATATTCTCTAATTAGAGGAATTATCATTATTGATAAAATATGGTACTGCTGCCAGTATGCTATATGCATTTCTCCTTAATCTAAAATTGATGGGGCATGTTGTAAAAATGAGTTTCAAAAGTTCGAAATCATAGTAGCGGTCAAGCTTCTCTTATCATATTCGAGAAGGCTGAAGTTTTTATAAGTTTCCATATTTATTGCTTTTTCTTCAAATTACGACTGAGCTACCGAATTAATCAAAATTGAGCATTCTATTGAAGTAGTTGGTATTTCATATTTCAGAAGATAGTTTCCCAGAGAAATTGAATTGTCATTCTTTATTTTGTGCTAGCACCTCTTGTTTTTTAAGTTTTTTGATCTTAACAGACGGACAAGAATTATTGATTGTTGCGGGAGGAAATTTACAATTTCTTATGCTTCAAGTTTAATTTGATTCTTCAGATGATTAAAGAATAGCATTTCCGTTAAAATAAAAGCTAATGAGCAAATAAATGGAGTAGAAAATGAGTAAATAGATGAAATAAGTTCTCTAAGCATTGTCTGAGATAATTGAATTTGTTTAAATGTTCAATATTGTCGCTAATAAGGCACTTGGATTTATAAAAAACATTGCGAGGATCGAATGAAATTAAATAATGCTTACCTCCAA